ATGGCATAATTATTTATAGACTAGACTGTGCTGACCTGGAAATTATTGTCAGTATCACAAGTAGGACATAAATCAAGTCTTATGTATCTTTGGCACATACTTTTGTTTCTACCTAAGCCTGAAAATGAATTGGGTAAATAAATAATGAAGTCAATGAAATACAAACTGTGTACTTGATACATGTTATTCCTTTATATATCAATTCCAATGCAGCTGGAGCATTAAGTATGTTTTTTAATGCGATTATGTATTTAAAACCTCTATAGTTGGGAGTGTTTTAAAAAAAATTAATGGGAGGTTGTGCCAGCAGTTCGAAGCTGTTACAATATGATATAATCTCAGTGGAAAATATTAGTGTGCTCTTGCCTGATGTTTCATTTGCTGGATTTGGTAAATTCTGAGATTAAAATAATCCTTGCATTTGATGTAGCACCCTTCATGTTGTGAAGCCATCTCAAAGTGCTTCACAGGGTTTCCTGTAACACATAGTGACTGTGTATTTTGTAGATCATCGCTGTGATGATCACTGATTGCTTGCTGTTGATCCTCACTGTCCGGTATCAGATTTTAACTGCTGGTTTAACAGTGCATTTCTGCATAGCACCTGGTTATTTCTGACTAACCAGAGAGTGTTCAGATTAACCTTAATTGGATAAACTGGAGAGCAGCTGGTGATACCATATGATAAAGAATGGAATTAAAAACTTTGAAAAGCCTGGAGCTGACCTGAAACAGAGAGGATAAAGAAGAGGTAGCTACATTTCAGCAATTGAGTATAAATAGCACTACAATTCAAATAACACTTTCAAGCTGATTGAAATTGAGCTGGTTAAATTAATTACAATATTTAATGCATTCAATAGTTTCAAAGTTTAGTTTAATTGGCTGAGCAAAATTCCAGTTAGAAAAGAATTTGCCCCCACCAGCAAGATGTTCAGCATGAAAATGGGCGCAAGACCTTTTTTTATTGACGTCAAATCTAACAGCATTGCTTTCAATCCTGTAGTATTGCTCCATTGCTCAAAACTCTGCAAAGATGAATAACAAACGTAACACCATTTAAGATAACAGCAGTTCCCTAGCTAATAATGGGGTACTGTTAATAAAAACTTTCTATCATTTGCCAAGTATCTTGATAAATAGTTTGACACAGACTGTTTCACAACTGAAAAATAAATTGGGTAAACAATGAAACTTATAATTATGTAAAGAGGGTGGGCTCAACAAATCACTTTATTCCTTTGTGCCAGTTTTGTAATTACAGACTCTGATCCTACAATGAACTTTTACTATAGAGCCAAGGAAAGCTAAAATTTCTAGAGGCCTGCATGTGTCGGTCAGTGCTTGAGCAACTCCAAGCTACTTGCTTTAAAATTTGGGCCTGCCTGTTTCTCTCTCTCCTCCCCCTACCCCCACCTACACAAACACAGAGCAGAATTTTGATCAATTGGCTACTTATTTTTTTACACACAACAAACTGGTGGCAATTAATCTTTTGCAAGAGTACAATGTCTCAAAGTTGTAATATAGCAACGTAGGTAATAATAATCCTTGCATTTGATATAGCGTCTTAACACGTCATTGAGAGGTCTCAAAGCGCTTCACGAGATATACTGTAAGGTGGATTGACTGTGCTTTTTGTGGGTGTTCCCTTTCCACATCGGAATATAATCTCTTCACATAGTTTGGCATGGTTGTTAATATCAGCTATTTGTAGATGGATTACATTTTTCGCATAAAGGTTAAAATCAGTGATTATGCAGCATGTACAAATTGCGATACAATCAGCAATGCTCCTCTCTTCGTGGCTCATTGGGTTTATTCAGTAAGTGGTTGAACTGTGTTAATTGGGAGGGTTCTACATTGATCTACAATCTATGCTCAGTTAACTGATCTTAACTGGGGTGACTGGAGGACAACAATTTACATTGTTACCATGGATTAGGAAAGGGAGAAATTAGCTGGAGTTACTGATCATTATTCTGTGACCCTCCTCAAACCTCATGTATACATTTTGTGAGGACATTATGATGCTCCATGACAGTCGATTCTCTGCCAAGGTTCACGCATAAATATAGATCTCTTGGGTGAGAGACTGGGAAGTGACCAGTAATAATAAACAACAACAACAAATTGCATTTATATCATGCCTTTCACATCAGGAGGACATCCCAAGTTGCTGGATAGTCTAGGGTTGGAATCAAGAGTGTTGAGCACTCTCAGACGCTTCGCTGGTGGAGGGCGCTACACAAGTGCAAGTTGTTGTTGAAGGGCAAGAGGGATGGCGGTTCGGAAGTTGACCAAAGGCACGGTCGATGAGGAAAGTGTTGAGATGAGCCTTAAAGTAGGCAAGGGGAAGGCAAGACAGAGGGGCTCCATGATGGAGTTCCAGAGGGTTTGTACAGAAAGACTAAAGGCCTGACTTCCGATGGAGCGGGCAGGGCGGGGGACATGGAGCAGGCTAGTACCCGCTGAGCAGAGGTCTCAGAGGTAGGCGGAACAAGACTGTGGATGGTTTTAAATGTGAGGACAAGGATTTTAAACTCAAATAATAATGCAACTATACCCAGAAGAAAGAAAAAGGGGAGGGGGGGCATATTGATGAGGGTGAGAAAAAGCTTCAGCAAAGCAAGATTCTAAATAAAAAGTGTATAGAGTGGACAAGAGTAGTTTGAGATAACTGTTTAAAGCTCAATCTCATCCAAGAAAATGACCACATTAAAAATGGGACTTTTGATTATTAACAGCTTTATGGTAACTTTTAAATAGGGATAAAGTGTATGGTGACTGAACCGCACTATTTGGACCAATAACACAGTGTTGCACAGTATCCAGTAAAATAATAATTTGGCTACTCAATCCACTGCTGTGTGCAATTAACTGCCATATTTTGCCCACAAAATATACAGTCAATTCACTTATACTCTATGCAAAATATACCTTCAATTCACTTATATTATTACAGTATATTCTGTGAAGCACTTTAAGACGTCTAGAAGACATAATATCAAATGCAAGGATTTATATTATTATTATTCAGCTTTGGGCTCACATCTCTTATTTGGGGGAATTCTAGACCTAAACCCATCTGATTCTCCAAAGCGAGATTATATCCTCCATTGAAGGGATGAGGAAAACAATTCTTGCCTAAAAAAAACAGAGGATGAGTCAACCCTTAAGACTTTTAGAATGATCAGTTTATGGGCTCTTATTGGCAAAGAAAACAGGATCAGATGGTTCCTTGCATTCATGATTGGAAACAATGTGTGTCACAAGGAAAAACAACGAATGGAAATATAGTATCTTACAAACTGGGTGATTAAAAACCCAAAATAAAAACAAACAACAATACCCTGGTAAAAGTACGATCAAGACTGGTGTGCAGCTTTTCTTTCAGACCCCAATTTGAAAATCATTCTCTTCTCCCAATACATTTCAATTCACATTCCCCTAATGCAGTCTGAAGTAATGCAGTAAAGTCAAACGGATCAGTTACCCTATTATGCAGCACTGCTTTAGCGCATCACTGAACTTAAAAAGAAAGTCCTTCAAAACTGGTTCCAATGATTTCGAAACGTGTTTTTTTTTTAAAAATGGGAGGGGAGGAAACCAATCCTCACTCCATAACGTGGGTGGAGTGCAACTTTCACTGCAAAAGCACCAATAAGTATTTAAGACAATTCTCCTGTCTAAAAGATGAAGATGACTTCAATTATTAAAATTGAGATCAGCCTTCAATGTGAGGAACAATATTTTTTTTGCCACAATATGCAAAAGGGAATTTTGTTGTTATTTTTGCTACTTCTACCATATCTCTCTAAACCTTTCATGTAACCCAACCACCACCACCACCACCACTTTTTCTACTTTGGGGCTCCTGGTTTTAAACAGTCTAGATTTGGGGAAAACACCCAGAAACACGGTTTATACACGAATTTGAGTGGTTCCAAGTCATTTGCTCGACTACAGAAAGCTCTGCAGGATTCCCCCACCATAAAAAAAAAGGGCGGTTCAATTCAAAAGCAGCTCCAGACCAGTTTATTCTGTGCTTCACGTTGCTGTGTTTTACTCTTGTGTGTGAGTGAGAAAGTCAGTGAGTGAGTGAGTAAATAAATAGATAACTAAATAGATAGATAGGCGAGTGAGTCAGTGAGTGAGTGAGTAAATAAATAAATAGTGAGCAAATAAATAAATAGTGAGTGAGTGCAGCTGGAATTAAAAACAAAGTGAAGAGACTCCCACTGTCTGGCAGGGGGAGGGTTAATGCGGACAGTCTTTCGTGTGATAACGGTATTTTCTCATTCCACGTTAAATCAACTTCTCCCACCAGCAGCGTTATAGTGAAGGAGGTTTTGGGGGGACAGCAGCAGCAGCAGCTCCCCATTGCCCCCCACCCCACCACCACCTCCCCATTGCCCCCTCCCACCCCACCACCTCCCCATTGCCCCCCCCACTACCTCCCCATTTGCCCCACGACCTCCCCATTTGCCCCCCCACCACCTCCCCATTTGCCCCCCCACCCCCTCTGCCCCCACCCCCTCTGCCCCCCCACCCCATCACCTCCCCATTTGCCCCCCCACCTCCCTATTGCCCCCCCACCCCACCACCTCCCCATTGCCCCCCACCCCCTCCCCATTGCCCCCCACCCCTCCCCATTGCCCCCCCACCCCCTCCCCATTGCCCCCCCACCCCCTCCCCATTGCCCCCCACCCCCTCCCCATTGCCCCCCCACCCCCTCCCCATTGCCCCCCCACCCCCTCCCCATTGCCCCCCCACCCCTCCCCATTGCCCCCTCACCCCTCCCCATTGCCCCCCACCCCCTCCCCATTGCCCCCCACCCCCTCCCCATTGCCCCCCCACCCCCTCCCCATTGCCCCCCACCCCCTCCCCATTGCCCCCCCCACCCCCTCCCCATTGCCCCCCCACCCCTCCCCATTGCCCCCCCACCCCCTCCCCATTGCCCCCCCCACCCCCTCTGCCCCCCCCCTCTCCCCTGTTACCTGGAGGACTCCTCAGTGAAGCTGCCCCCGTCCAACAGCCTGACTTTGCAGAAGAGGATCCCGTTCACGAACGGCACCGAAGACAATTCCTCGAGTTCAAAACCAACCCGAAACTTGAATTTCTTTTTCTTGGTCATGATGAAAGCCATCAATTCCCTATTGCCCCCCAACACCACCACCACCACCACCACCCAACACCTTCGCGAGAGGAAGGGCCGACCGATCGCCTTCAGTCTGAGTCCATGGCCAGTGAGTGAGTGAGTGAGAGAGAGAGTGTGAGTGAGTGAGAGAGAGAGAGTGAGTGAGAGAGAGAGAAAGAGAGAGAGAGTGAGTGAGAGAGAGAAAGAGAGAGTGAGTGAGTGAGTGAGTGAGTGAGAGAGAGAAACAGAGAGAGAGAGTGAGAGAGAGAGAGAGGAGAGTGAAGGAAGGAGGGAGGGAGGAAGGAAAGGAAGGGAAGGAGGAGGAGGAGGAGATGGTGGTGGTTGGTCTATGAGAGTGACTTGACTGCAAGACAGACAGACAGACAGACCAGCACAAGGCAAAGGCAAAGCCACCAACAGGTCACTGACTGACTGACTGACTGACTGTGTTGGCTGGAGGAACACTTTCCAGCCAGTCAGGTAGGGAAGTTATTACTGACATCATTGCAATTTCATCCCGCATCACATCCGCTCACAGAAAGAAACCTGTTTCAGCAAAAGACGTGTGTTGTGTGTGTGTGTGCGTTGTGTTGTGTGTTGTGTTGTGTGTGTAAAGCCTCTCTGGTGCACCTGATAGTTTCTTGTGTGTTGGGTTGGGAGCTGCAAGAGACAGGTCACTCACTGTGGGTGTGGGGTGTGGGGTGTGTGGGGGGAGAGATTATAAAAGAACTCGCCTGCTCAGCCTCACTTAAAAGGAACAGTTACATCTTGGGTAATCCATACTTGACTACAATATTATTATTATTATTATTATTTTTTTTGGGGGGGGGGAGTGGTGTGTTGCCTCCTCTCTTTTTTTTCGAGTAAGGGGAAGAAATCCTGCACTCAGTCAGGAGACTGCGCCTCAGGTCCGTATTTGAACATTGGACTCAATATTATTGTCGATTCGTTGATTTTTTTTTAAAAAAAGAGAAAAAGATTCCGGTTGCAATGCTTTTCGAGGGCTGCGTTTGGAATGTGCTCAAAAGCTTAACGTGGGTTCTGAAGCGTTTTTTCCGATCTTAGCGTTTGTCAAAGCCTTTTTGCATTGGATCTGAGGGCCACGTTCGTGTCAATCCGAACCATTTGCGGAGGAAGGGGAGATGGGCAGTGGGGGAGGGAAAAAGATGACCAAAAGCATAGTGGTCAAATAGATGGGGAGGTTTTGAGATGGCCCTCGAAAGGAGATGAAAGGAGGAGGAATGGAGTTCCAGAGAATGAAGGCAAAAAGGTTGAAGGCTCTCACCTGCTGTGGGCAGGTCTGATGGGTGGGGACAGGAGCAGGGCAGGTGCTCACCGACTTGGTAGGCTTTGAGGAGTTACTGTAAACTACACTGATGAAAGCCAATTTATGCACAGGAATGTCCTGCAAACAGTGACCATGCGAGTGTCCCGGGTTTATCTGGAGGATTGTTGGCCAGGATACCGGGAGAAACTCTTCTCTTTTTTTAACTGATGGCACGGGATTTTTAATATCCACCTGAACAGGTAGAAGAACTTTGGTTCAACATCTAATCTAATCTAATGGACTGCACCTCAAGACAAATGCTGCATTACCAGCGCCCCCCACCCCACCCAGCACTGCATTAAAGTGTCATCCTAGAATGTGAGTTCAAAGTCCTGACATAGCTCCTGAACCCACAAAAGTCTGTCTTAGAGGCATGAGTACTTCCAACTATAGTGACCGCAACCGTGACCCAATGATCTGGAAGAAGGCCAGCTTTCTGGACACATGCAGTTCACTGACCAGCGGCTAATCTTGGATCACAATCCACTATAAGGCAGGTTGGAATATTATGGGCATCAATGACTGTACTGTAACAGGGTTCCACTATGTCTGCTTAGGAACAGTTTTGAAGAACGTAGTGATAGATGTAGATTCAGATGAACAAATACTACAAAGGGCAGAAATATTTTTGTGCTCCTTGAATCAGGTAGTAGACTGAAGGAGGCCAGGTTCGAGCAGTGAAAATGAGGGGATGGATGACTATTACTCATTTTTTTTGATCTGATAGAATCTAGCCATATGGTACCAGTAAAGGCGTTAATCTTAAAGTCTCACATTCATGACACAGTAAGACCGATATATACACTAACATCTATTTTTACTTGATGACTATTCTCTTCCCCAGCTCCGTGCATTCATAATATCCTTGTTTGGAAAAATGATATGGGATATCTCATACAAAACTCCAAGTATATATGTCTCTCAGGCTGATCCCACAGGAGAAATGCAGGAAGGGGTCCCTCACACTATCATTCTCTCCTTGCCACGACTGGCTTGGCTGAGGCAGGAGATTTCATCACCCAACAGGGAGATGGAACATGAATGTCAATCAAGACTGGAATTTGAACTCTGTTCAGAATGCTGTGCTCCAGGGTTACGGTTACTCGCTGCTTATATTGAAGCAGATCATCTGACTAAACTAAGGGATTTAGTGGGCTACAAACTCACAGGCCAAATTGTGGCAGGCAGGGGAAGGTCTAGATTGCAATACTGGACTTGGAGTTTCAGTTAAATTATGCTATATATGCATACTGAGAATATCTTTTAAAAATTGAATATACCACTAAATGTGAATTTGACATTTCTTCAATTTAATCCGTCTATTGAAGCAAACTAATGGACAGTCTTATTTTCCTTGTGTAATATTTAGTATCTACTTATTTATCACAGATGGTTACATTTCAAACAATCTACTGGAATGTTGATATTGTAGAATGTCAATTAATATGACTTCATGTTTTGCCCATAGATAATTCATAAGGAATGCTTACTGTACACATGGTACAGTAAGCAATATTTGTTTTCCTTTCTGCTTTAAGGTGGACTTCTGCTCTGGTAAGCAGAATTAGCTTTGTAACTTTGATCTCACAAATATTCAAATCCTATAATTGAACAAACCCAAATCCCAACTCTGAATATGAAGGTATTTTAAAAATTGAACATTATTATGACAAAGTGCGACATATAAACAGGTATTGGATTTAGAATTGTTAATGAAAGATTAAACACACTGCTGTTTGTTCCACTAAACTTAGCATTAAAATAAGATAGCTGCATGAACCATGGGACTGAAGGGGATTAAGGATCCTTGCAACAGTATTGTTTCCTGCAGTATATGTGAATTGTTAGAACATATAACGTTGATACTTTGCTGAATAGATTGCGATTTTGCTTTTGAGCTAGGGGCTTAATCGACTTACATTACATAATAAGATACTTAACATATTTCATCCGTGAATGCACTAGAGGGTGCCTTGCCAGTTGCTATTTCTGTTCTAAAGAAAATAGCCTATGCTATATGTTATTTCAGTCTACTTAATAGACATACATTGTTCACTGTTTTGGGAGCAGAACTCCTGATTTAGGCAAGTGACACAAGATCACTTCAGGGAAGTTGTCTCATTCTCCTTCAATTTCACATTAGCTGGTTTTATAATTTTTGTCTGATTTTAGCGAACACCACATAAAAATTTAAATTAGACACTTAATTTTAAAAGTTTGGACCAGCATTGAAGTGTTTATTTTATTAATAGAGAGTTGATGGGACTCTAGCTCTTAAAAAGTATTAAAAACGAATACTCATTGAGTGCTGATTTGTGGAATTCAGTACATGTGTAAATCTATAATCCTTACTTCTTCTCTTTTCACAGATTTTCCTGGTTGTGTATATTTTTAAATAAAATAGAATCGGCTTGGTTATTTAATAATATCACTGATAAATGCTTGGCTAGAGAATTGTGGTGGGAGCTGTTAGTTCGACTTTGGTGTTAAAGCACCATCTACAGGCCAGACACTTTCAGTGCTGTTATGTTGAACAAAATAAATGAGACCGGTAGTTTCTAAAATCTGGAGCTATAATGAGGGGAAGGGGTCCAGTGTTCAATTCCAACCGCGTTTTATACACTGAATGTCTCCTCAGTTTATCCCATATTAAATGGGTTTTAAGCATTCTCGACTTAGGTAGTGCAATGGGCTCATAGTACAAAACTGCTCTCAATTTATTAATCTATTTGGACAAGCGCGTAGACGCGATAAGGTGCTATATCCAATGCAAGGATTATTAGTATTATTATTATTATATGTGCGTATATACCCCCTCCCCACCCTCTACATTTTCCAAGACAATATGCGATAAATGAAGGACACAGAAATGATTCACCTCACCGTGCATCACCTCGAAGCAACCTAAAGAAAGGTACCGAGATAATCATCTGTTGTTGGGCCTATATGTAAGAAAAATCTAGACTTATTTAACATGTTAGCCATCACCACATCACATTCACTCCACTGAGCTGCGCTATTATAAATGCAGGTTGTTGTTTCCCTCCCGACGTGAAAGACTCTATACCAAGTGCAAGGATTATTATTAGGATTATTATTATTAGATGATGATGTGAACCATCATTTAATCCCTTAGATCAAACCAGTGTCTTGAATTCCTGTTCTTTCCCCCTACGTTCCGAGAATCCCTCAACATTCAGAAGACATGAGCCGCACCATGAAATGGCAACTACCCTTCCTTTAGTTTGTATGTGGGTGTAGTCTCTTGCAAAACACAAAATAAAATTCCCGACTTTACCAGCGAAAGGAATAAACCCACCCACGTTATGACTAAGCCTTGTAAAACCCAATAGAAATATCCCTCGGCTTTCTCTCCTTACGTACCCCACCCCAACCCCCCCCCCAAAAAAAAACTTTTTCCTCAAACTGCGGCCAAGAAAGAAACCGGGAAATCAACTTGAGTACGCGGTGCAAATGAGCAGCGGCGGCGGTGGCGGTGGTGGTGGCGAAACCGGCTAATAAGTCAGTCGTTATGCTAAGTGGTGCCTGTGGCAACAGATGCTTCCTGGTTCTTGTTAGCTGTGGTTGAAAGGGCGTTGTGAGTGTTGGATGTTCCTCCCCATCCCCAGCCTCCATAACATCTCTTCTCTTTCTCTCTGATCTCTCCCTGACTCCAGACTGCTGCAAACAGCCTCCCCCCAACCCACCCCTCCCTGCACCGACACACACAACACACACACACACACACACATAATAACACAGGCTGGAGCGCAGGGCAGGAGATGGAGCTGGTCAGGGGGTTCGTGTTCGCTCAAGCCAACTGCAAGGAAGGCAGGGACGCCGAGAGAGAGATGAGCTACGCCCAGCTGTTCGCCAAGCTGGACACCAACAAGGACGGGCAAGTGGATGTGAAGGAACTGCGCCAGGGACTGCGGGCGATGGGCGTCAACCTGGACACGTCTACTGAGCAGGTTACAAAGTCACAGCTCTTGTCTCTGGGGGAGGGAGGGAGGGGGGGGGGTGAGGGGGAGGGAGTGGGGTGGGGGGTGGTAACCCACCAGGCTTTAAACTCTTTCCCAGCTCAAACCCCACATCACTGGTTGGGTTTTTTTTCCCCCAAAAAAAGGGGGGGAAAAAAATCAACTGTAAGATGGCTGCATGGTGTTGGGTTACAAGGGAGGGAGGGAGGGAGGGAGGGAGGGGGGAGAGGGAGGGGAAGGGAATGAATGGATCGACAGTGTTGGATTACATAGGGAATGGATTCACAGTGGTGCATTGTGGTGCCTTCTCAAGACCCACCTCTTCCACTGTGCTCTCTTGTCACCCTTCTACTCCTACTCTCCTGATCCCGACCCCCCACTCCACCCACCCACCCCACCCACCCACTCAGCTCAGGTCCAAATCCATGACTGTCCAGCGCCTTGGGACGTCCTCCCGACGTGAAAGGCGCTGTACAAACGTAATTTGTTGTTGTTGTAAAGGCAATGATTGCTCAGTTTTGGTGCGTACGGGCAATGAATGAATGGATGTCCTGTGTCGGGTTATAACTCAGCTGTACAAATCAAAACCTCTTACTTCCTATATTTTTGTAGTTTTACTTAATCTGACCAAATAAGCAAATAACCAACAACATCCTATCTAGTTTGTTGCTACAGTTTATAATGTTAAAAAAAACATGCTTCCCGCAGCTTTCCCTCACCTCCGTAACGTTGGAACACGCCTGACTCCATCACTACCTCTCCAAATTCAACATCGTCGTTCTCATCTTTAAATCCTCCGTAGCCTCATCCCACCCTACCTTTGTGGTGCTCTGTGACCTCCCACAACCCTACTTATAGTCCCTTCGACGCCCTCCCCACGTTCAGAGCCCACCTCAAGATTTACCTCTTTGACCACGTTTTCAGTCATCTTTCCCCCCCCCCACTCTCTTTGGTTCCTGTCCACAGCTCGGGTGCTCATTTAGCAGTGTGTGAAGCGAGTTTTGAGACATTGACCTGCAATACAATAAATGTATATTATATTATCAATGGCACTCCATGCACACAATGCACAGGAAGCAATGTTAGTGGCAACCTGAATTTATGGATTTTGGTGATTTTTTCATGGTAGTGGATAACGGGGGGCCTAAGATCGTGCACCAAAATGAGCACGTTATAATGGGGTTACCCTGTACCATAAATCCTACAGACTGCATTAAATCCTGCACACCCTTCCCTATAAACTGAGTGCAGTCTCCATGGGAGTGTAGATAATGATGTATTTTAAGACCAGGAACAGCTGGTTTGATTTGTGCTGGTGTATGTGCACACCTTGATGCTGACTGGACACTTTAATGACTTTACTCACTGGGGTCTTTAATTATAACATGTTCAATTGCTATAGGGTACAGTAACTACACACATTTTGATAATGCCATTTGTTCTGTTTTTCTTACCATTTATCTTCCATTTACCGGTGATTACAGTTAGTGTTGATTCAAGTTTAGTGTGACTTGTGCTCATTTTTTTGCTATGGCACTATGTTTTATATTTTCCCCTCCAGTTTTTTTTTGTTGCCTGTGGATAATGCAAACCTATTTTTCTCCTTAACCTGAGGAACTGAGGATAATTGTCATGTTCTTACAGCTACCCAAGACAATAATGGGTAACTCAGCACAAATCAGTTACGCACACAGCTGTGCTACTCAATATCAACAGCAATATCAATGGCAAGCTGTGCTGTTTTAGTTGGTTAGACTCCAGCAGTACCCCGACACACACACTGGGTCCGCAACCCTTGGCTTTTGCAAACCTGCACCTAATACTTTCCAGAATTAGGTAAACAGGAACCACCCTCCGGGGAGAGAGTGCACATTCCATTCCAACAATCTATCTCTAGGATTTCCATGTGTAGGTGGGATGCATGGAAATCTCAGCTTGGTTTGGATATTCTTAAGCTTGGAGATGGGTTTCCGCATGTGTCAGACACCCAGCTGAACAAAAAAAAGCTTGCTAAGACATTGGGAGAATGCATCTGAATATTCTTGATTGGGCGTATCTGAATTCTTCCAGTCTTCTTAGATGTCTGCAGATTGGATTTCATCTTCTGCCGGACTCAGGCCAGTTTGGATAATAATAATCCTTGTATTTGATGTAGCGTCTTATCACGATCTCCAAATGTCTGCATTGCCAGCATATAACTGCTCTTATTTGCATGTTTGAGACCCTCACATTCTTCTGGTTCACTAACTTTGCAGGGTGAGGCTGCTTTAAAATAACTGGAAATACACATGGTAGATGAATGTGTGTTGTGTTTTCTCTTTATATGCTCAAACATACAAAATGATTCCACTCCATATAGTGGCCTATCTCAGTATAGTATAGTAATTGCCTGATGGGTTCAAAAACAAATGGTCTTATTGGTCTGCCTAAGCCTTCACACCTTAATCATTATATATTATTGTACAAATGTGATACTTAAAAGATAGGACTCCTGATTGTACATGATCATTTCATCATGAAAATTATGGGCCATTGTGATATGATTGCATTAGTTTGCTGGTCTTTTTTGATTTGAGATCAGTTGCTGTGTAATGTAATTAAAATAAAGACCAAAGTGACCTAATTTCTCTGTAGAAATACAATTATATTATAGATGTCAGTATTCTGACCAGTACCAGCAATAAGCTTCTTGTTCTTGGATTGGATTTTAAATCCATCCTTTGTAGTTTTCAAATGAACAGTCTGCCTGTGAGCAAGTGAATGCAGCTCTAGAAGCTAAATGTTTAGTTGTTTTTTATATTGGAGTCATTCAGATTGATTTTGAGGATGATTTGATTTCAACTTGTGCTGACCTCTTGGGGAACAGCTCGCGTTTATATAGGACCCTTCATGAGGGGCAGAGTCTCAGAGCGCTTATTACTACTATAAACAATTTATAGGATGTTAAAATAATTCAGGTGGCAGAATTTTAGCTGTGGAAAGTTTGTCCAATTATTAATTAGAAGGAAAATGAATTTCAGCTGAGTAAGTATTGCTTCATAATCTTTTCACAAGTTTTAGTTATGTATGTTGCTTTTCCATTTCTTTTTGCATTACTTTCCATAAATAGGTGTCAGTTTTGTTCACAATCACAGCAGCAGAGAAACAAAAAAATCACATGAAATACTGAATTGAGGAAAGTAAGTGTGCATCCATCACAAATCATTTCTTATCTGGCTGATTTCAGGCAAATGCTGCCTTGAAATAGTTAAATCTCATTTTGATTTGTAGCACAGAAATTCAACACATTATAGCCCAAGGGCAACACCTAGCACTCTGGGAGGAGCACTGGCTATAACTGTGTTTGCCTGGCTGATGCAGCTTTAAACCAGTATGGAAGAGATTTAAAGCTTTGAACATTGAGTGGCGAAGTTCTTGCTAATATGCAAGGTTTGTAACACAAGAGCAGAGCTAGTTAGACGCAGCTGACTGAACGTAAATGGGATATAAGTGAAGGCCGGTAACTGAAAACAATACTGTAACTGGATGTCCTTTCAGAGCCAATTCAGAAGGATTTTTTCTGTTGAGGCAGTAATTGACTGTGAACACCTAGTTGTGGCAATTTTGCATTAACTGAGCACAGCAAAATCATTTTGAGTGCAACTCCAACTACACAACCAATTTGGGCTAGGGATGTTGTACATGTATTTGCATGTGCCCAAATCAAAGTCTGAAGACAGAGATTATCAGTATTTCGAGCCTGAAGAACTCCCAGCTGAAATCAGGACTGTTACTAGAGTATTTCTTCTAATTCCTTCAGATGAGTTGAGCAGATTCATAGAATGGAAGCAGGTAAGGATTTAATATATATATATCTATACACGCACATATCTGTTATAAACACATATATACTGTATATATGTATATATTAACGGAGTGTGGGAATTTTGTAACTGAAATACTGAGCTTTGAATAAGCAAGCCATTCAATATACTGTTGCTAGTGTAGGGTAGGTTGCTAGATTTTCGGTGTTCCTTTGGAATGTGCTGTGGCACCATTTATGGGATCGCTATCATTGCAAAAAAACACACATTCAAACCTCTATTCATCAGTAGAATCCCTTATTGGTTGGTTAGCATCATTAGTGCCGGTGTGTGGTTCATTTTGTAAATGTGCCCAAGTTACTCTCACTTTATCTGTTTTTGTGACGGGTTGTTTTATTTGCAATTTATTTAAATTATCGGGCTGTGAACCTGTCAGTGTGTAATGCTCAACAAAGTTGATGTCAGGTGAAGCAGGTTTGCAATGTGGAGCACAACATTAGGCTTCAATTTCACTTTCGCCATTCAGGAGAAAGGAGAGGATCAGAGGAAATCATGTGAGAAATCGATCTATTGTAACTGATATGGCCACATGGGACACAATGCCTTAGAAAGGAGATGAGAAGGAAGGGACAGTGTGTACACTGCATTGTTTTAGTCAGTTTACTGGCAATTTTTTTTTTACGGGTTTTTAACTTTTTTTTAAAACTCCACCTTTGCTTTTTCCTATCTTTTGTGAAAAAGAACATTTTCTTATAGCAAGTTTGCTTTATATAAAAAGAACATTTTTTTCTATGTATTGTGAATGAGTCAGAAATATAAACAAGACAATTTGGCGAGGCCAGTCCCCATTTGTCCACCAAAGTCACCAAATGAAACCCAGCATTTCATTGATATTGAAGCACTTAGAGATGTCCTCGCAACATGAAGCACTACATAAATGTAAATTGTATTGTGTGTTATAGATCCTATATCACATGCAAAGATTATTATTATCATCATTTATTATTATGAAGTCCACTGAAGGTGAAGCCCAAAATACAATTGGTTCTTATCCCAGTTACCTATGAACTGATATGGATGGAGTTGTTGATGAGAACGACCATGACCATTTTATGTATTACGTTCCTATCTGTAACAGTTGGCAGAAAGAAATGGGAACTTTACAATATATAATAAAAATCAGAAAACTATAAAACAAAACCAAATAAAGAACAAACACTTTTTTTAAAAAAGCAAGGTTTGCAAAAGTGGAATCATTGCATATAAAGTTATGTGATGTATTAAAATGAATAGTAGCAATACTATTGTTTTTAATGGTGAATTCAAGGCACCATGATCCAGTCCGTCACAAAGCTTGAAAAGACTGGGGGAGAAATCAGATTAGTCAAGGCGAGGTGGTTAAGTAATACCATAGTTGAGTTCAAAATGATTTAAGAAAGGAGAGGGTAGGGGAAGGAAGAATTCTGCAATCTTGTAAGCATTGAGTTAGAGTAGGAAATGGTGCATTCATTTTTAATTTCAGTGAGGAGGAAATAAGTAAGTCTGTAACTGATTCCTGTAAAATGAAAGTCAATATGTTACTAGGTGTCCTGATCATCAAATGGGCTGCCACATTTGCCTACAAAATAGTCACTATGCTTTACAAATCCTGTGAAGCGCTTTGGGACTCCCCCCTGACGTGAAAGGCACTATATTAAATGCAAGGATCATTATTATTATTTGCTGTTGTTGTACATCAGTGGTATTGAGCCAGACCAACACTGGACCAAAAGAGTTAATCTCATGAAAGTGCATCTCCTTATGGTGGCACTGTTGCAACAGATGAGAGGCACTTGCAATAATAATAATAATCCTTGCATTTGATATAGGCATTATCATGTCTTCGAGCGCTTTACAGAATATACTGTAAAGTGAATTGACTGTATGTTTTGTGGGCGAAACGCTGCAACCAATGGTGCACAGCAGTGTCCAACAAACAGTTGTGGATTGAGTGACTACATTATTTTTTTGAAGGAATGTACATTTAGGTTAGCACTCCACTGTTTTATACGATGACTCTCCATTTTTTATTGGAGAAAGAAATGTAAGAATTAATACTCTACTGCAGGTGATAAAACTTTGACTAAAGTTCACATTTTTTAAAATTTCATTTTTAAAACAGAAAATGTTTAAAGCTGGGAACGCTGATCAGGAAGCACAGCTGAATTTCAAGGAGTTTTCCAACTACCTCAGAGACCATGAGAAAAAACTAAAACTGACTTTCAAAAGTTTGGACAAAAATAATGATGGTAAGTCGAGAGCTTCACTGAAACATGTGATAAAAATGATAATATGGCTGTCGGTCCCTGAATTGTTACTGCAAGACGACACCAACCGTATCAAATAAATAAGAGCAAATGAGTTGATAATTCTGGGGCGCTACCCTGTGAGAGGGGCACTATATAATTGCATGTTGTTGTTGTAGTTCAAGGTCCATCTAGAGTTGAATTAAAAAGTTAAAGTTTTTTTTTTCACCCGCGTTAAAATACTCCACTTAGCAGCAGCTTTCTCACGCATTCCAACACCTGATTAGTTCAGTTTGACTCATTGCTCTTTGCTGTGTTGCCAACAAAATATTTTTTTGAGTGGGGGGGGATTACTTGGATGTTATTAGCTGTTTCCTCCAGTGCAGTGTCTTCCTTTAATTTCTAGCTTACCTCCTCCCCGTAGTGTACAGCACTCCCTAGCTGGGAGGCCAGGGGTTTCAAAATGTCTTGGTGCGACTAATTGTTTGGAGGATGTGCTATCACCTCCAGTTAGTTCACTTTGCAATTTTTTTTGTGTGTGTGAGAAAATGTCCTCTCAACCTAGACAGTTATTGAAACCTCATTGTGTGAAAGTTACAGACTCTCTAGACAGTGTATTGCAACAACAAAATGTACTTTGCTATCAGAATAGCAGGTTATCATGCATTAATTATTGTTGACCAAATTATTGGTATACTTTTTTTTAGGAACTATTGATGCTTCTGAAATTGTGGAATCTCTTAAAGGACTGGGAATGCACATCGATCCTCAACAGGCAAAAAAGATCCTTCAGAGGTTAGCTGCTATAATAAACTGTTACTTGTAAATATTCTATTTCTTGACGGTTGTATAGTGACAATGGTTCTGTTGAGCCAGACACACCAGTTATCTGAATGATGAGAGATTTTGAGCACATAAAAGACAAAATATGTGACAAGATTAGATATCCACAATCTTTGCCTTAGAACTGTGGGTGTTTGAAAAGCCAATTTATTTTCCCCACATGCTCACTTTGTCTCCTGAGATTAGCACTCCTTTTCCTTCCTCATTCTGAAACCCACTTATAATCGTCTGCTGCCACTTTGTGGTTCTCTGGCAATAAATCAGGCAGGAAGCATTAAAAGTGATGGCTTACTCTGCACTCAAGAGCAGTCTGTAGTGGAATCATATTTAAGAAGGCCAACAAAGAACTCTGCTGATGTGTCCTTCGTTGCCATAATAAACAATTATGAGCTGGTGGCATTTGAAGTAAAACGGTAGGTTCCAGGGAAGGAAACCTTAAAAGATACAGCACTGGTGGGTCGGGATACCTGACGTCTAGTGCTGCAAGAGAAGAAAGATTTTGAAGCGGAATGACAGAGATATCGTACGAGCAGGCATTATCTGGAGACTTGGAGGAGTTGTATGATTTCAAAGGAAAGCTGAAGGAATCGGTCTGAGTGCAGCAGGAAGGGAAAGTCTCCGAGTCATGAAATGGGAATCTGGATCTGCAGACTCAGTGCAAGGTTGTTCAGTTTTTATTTCCACAATCAGTTTAGCTTAGGTCCCCGAATGTCTTGCTTAAGATGGTTGGGCCACACCTAGAGGACTTTGCACTGTTCTGGTTAATATCACATAACGGAGCCTTTATAGTTGGCCAACAGAATGAAATGATTAATAATCCTTGCATTTTTTGATATAGCACCTTAACATGTGTTTGAGATGTCTCAAAGCGCTTCACAGAATGTACTGTAAAGTCAACTGACTGTATATTTTGTGGGCAAAATGCAGCAGCTAATAGCCCACAGCAATTAAATTGAATATTTCTTGATTTATGCCATAAATCAAGAAATATTCGATCAAGAAAAGAACTGAAAACCCTAGATTTTTGCGAATGTTCAGTGGGCAGCTTCTTGACAGCCACGGATTGGCCACCGTTGCTTTAGAAGCAGTGCAGAAAGAAGCTTTGAGGCTAATAACTGATTTTCTGGAGTCCTGTAGCTCAGTGATTATAGCGAGAAACCTGGGTTCGATTCCCGGCAGAGCCAAACCTTGGGTAAGTTTCCTTACTCCACATGTCTGAAAATAATTCCTCAAAAATAAAAATGAATAATAATTTGTTCACTGAATCCATCACTGTTTGTGGGAAACTGCTGTGCGCAATTGGCTGCTGGATTTCGCCCACAAATATACAGTCAATTTACTTTACAGTATATTTCTGTGAAGCGCTTTGAGACGTCTAGAATATGTGAAAAGCACTATATCAAATGCAAGGATTATTATTGTTATTGGGAGGATGAGGAATAACGACAAAGAGGGTGTAAGAGAAAATACTTTTCATGTCGAGGAGTATAGAAAGTGAAAATGAAAGTAAACCCAGAAAAGTGCTTTTGGGTATGTTAAAACACCGGACAAGAGGACACAGGTTCGGGTTCCTGAAGTTTAACTTTACGACTGACAATAGGAAGTATTCCTTTACGTAGAGAGTAATTAACAGCTGGAATAGGTTATCAGGAAGTAAATCCTTAACAAAGTTTGTTTTATACCTGTTTATCAGAAATTATACTTTTACTCACCTATGTATACCCCACACACAAGCATACCAATTCTGAGAAGTTTGGGTGTGGCTAAGATGTGGCCGTATCTCATTGTTGCCAGCCTATTTTTGTTCACTGATAAGTCTGTGCACCCATGTACGTTAAGGCTGATATTGAGGATTTTGTGTCATGAAGCAAAAGTGCTCAGTGAGGGCAGTGCAGTTGCCTTGCTCTGCAAGTTTAACTCCATGTTGAATGAGGAGGGTTTACACTGCAAATTAAGAAGTCTGAAGAACGGCATCCAGGTTTGCACTGGAGCTTTGCTACTATAAACAACAACAACAACAAGATTCCATTTATAAAGCGCCTTTCACGTCAGGAGGACGTCCCAAGGCGCTAACGAGCACCATGCTGATTCCATCTCTATATAAATGTCATTTGAGGTAAAATGTTCAGTGCTTTTTTTAAAAAAATGTGTTGTTTTGAAGATTTTGTTTTTGTTCCATTTCCGGCTATTTGCTACAAATTTCCTTTACAAATTTCCTTTACACCTCCGTTCATTATCCTCAACCTAATTGCTTTTAAATTAAGAAGTCAGTATTCTGCTGAGTTTATTCAGTTGGTTTAAAACAGGGCAGAGGCAAGCTTTTTTTAAATTAGTGATTGTGTCTAACTGAAATTTTTAAAGTTAAACTAGTACTTTTAAGGTTATTGATAATAGGGTGTAATTTCAAGTTTCAAAACTTCCTTCAATATTGACTATCAATTATCTAGATGTGTTGGAGTTGGAATCTTACAATACCCAGGTTTTAATGCCAATGGCATGAAGCCAGGTCTCCACGATCCTTCTGCTCGTGGACTACAGATTTTGTTTGCCAGGAAGTGGGATCAAGCAGGGTCTGATGATTTTGTTTAGCAAAAAGCTGTGATCTGTGAATTTGAAAGTTGCGATCTAGAAGTCAGATGAGTAGCTCAGCTTTAAGGACATCGGCATTGACCATGATGTCGGGGAAGGAGGTGCACATAAGGGCATTTTTGACTTGATGCTTAAGAACTTAATAAATTTAGACCTACTGTATAATTTCTGCGCAAGAAATTATTTCATCTGCGACCAGTTGACCCAGAAATGGGACCAGTGGTCATTTTGTCATAGACCTGGTCGATGCAGTGACTGATTTTATGGATCTAAGACGTGCTGCATTATAGGCGATATCATGTATAAGTAGCCCCGTGTCTTTGTTCAGTGATGACTTTTGTAAAATTCCTTCAATGGCAATTAATAAATTGATGGCATCCTCTTGACTGATGTATTGCTCATTAAAGTGGCAGGCCAACCTACACTGGAGCACTTTCACCTAAGTCAGAAGATTGTGGGTTCAAGACTCACTTTCAGACTTTGAACTCAGTCTAGGCTGACACTCCCGTGCAATGCTGGGAGTATGCTGCACTTGATGGCGGTGCCGTCCTTCAGCTGGAAAATTAAACCGAAGTCTTGTTTGTGCCTGTTCAGGTGAACGTTAAAAGCCCATGGCATTATTAGGTAAGAGAGGTGAGTTTCTACCATTGTTCTGGCCAACAACTCTCCAAATAAAATTAGTTGATTTGTTTAGTGGTTGTTTGTGGGATGTTGCTGTGTGTAAATGGCTACGGCATTTTCTACAATATACACTACACATTGGAATAAATCGCTGAGACACTTGACAATCTGAAGGGCGCAATATCCAATGTAAGGATTTACTATTAGGGTTTATTAAGAAGATTGTGTTAGATAACTAACTGCTTTCTATTTGCAGTATAGATGCAGATGGGACACTGACAGTGGATTGGAATGAATGGCGGGACCATTTTATGTTTAATCCAGCTACGAGCATTGAAGAAATCATTCATTTCTGGAAACATTCTACGGTGAGCAAAGTCCCTGTGAACTTAATGTTTTCTTACTTGCTGAAATTCTGATATTTTTGAAGGGATTTCAAGGAATTGGCGGTATGTGCATTTGCTATCAGTAAGGTCTTTAATTCTGTAAGAAAAAGTGTTAATTGTTTACCAATGTGTTATTCTAATTTAGCCTCTTTCTAATATTTAAATCATTGAATTTAACACTGCCATTCGTGCAATGGAAATCACAGACAAAATTTAGCCAAATATTCAAAATGAAGCTGCACTCGCTTTTGTGGGCAGTGGTAGCTTTTTGTATAATTCTAAATTTGTATATTTCATTTTTTTAATAGAAGTAGAGGAGAAGTCTGAAACGATCATACCAGTACATTTTACATCACACACTAAAACTAAACTTTAAAAGTTTTCATTTAATCTTGTTTGGATACATCTGACACAGCATCACTTATTTCCCCAGCTAACAAGTACATCCTCTTGTGATGGTGATATCTATCCTCTTACCTGTTTTCATTGTATTATGAAAACACAGTTTTATTTCATCAGCGTCTTAAATGTAGCAAGAACCTGGCACAAAGGTCACAAGCAAACATTGTCTTTAAGGACATGTATCATGCACTATAATCTTAATGGTTACTAATCAATTTTTATTATATTCCTTTTTATTCAAAGTATCTGTTACCTCCTTTTTTGCCATTTTATGTCCCGAAGACTTGATTACTGTAATTCTCTTTAACTTGATTTCTCCTGGTCGAATATATTTTTCTGAATCATTCCGTTCATGCATTTCAATATTCTTTTGTTTCACTATGATTTTTTTGTTCGGAAAGATCATGCTGCCATGTTATTTTATATGAAGCTTGTTTGGATTTGCTGCAGTATTACTGAGCAGGCACAAGGTCTGTTCAGAGTACAGAATGAAGTCGCCGTGATTCTTGTATTAACAAAGCTTAAAGGAATACAATTTTCTATTTTACAGAAAAATATAGTGTGTAAAATGGAAAAGATTGATTCACATGTTATTAAGCATAAACGTCAGCCACCAGTAAAGGCTTTCGGTTGCATCAGCAACATTTTTTCACTCCATGAGACAGTAATTGAACCCTAACCTTACTGTAAGCAGCTTGGCATTCCAATAATAGATAACCTAGATATTTGCTGCTTGTGATGATCTTCTCCGTTTAGCAGAACAATTAATAGGGGGGAAGGAAACCCTGAAGTTGTCTGTCCTGAATTAAATGTGGCAGTAGAAAATCCTTTTTAAAAAAAATTCAGGTAATATTTAAATTTATCATTCATACGTCATTCCGTTCATGACAAACATCACTGCATATGGATTGTAATGGATTAAAATTTGCAATCCAAAAATAGTTTACAAACCATTTAGCGATCTGGTGATCATTCAAATTGAGGTGCTTATTTTGACATGTGCTCATTGCAGATCCCCAAAGCAATTCACTGAAGACGAGTTATAAAAACTGTAGCAAATCGTTTTTTTAAACAAAATAAACACCACAAGTCTATTTATCATTTTGTACAGTAATTAAGTCTGCTGTCAGAGGAGCTGTATTGATAGGTCATCTGATGACAGGACGTAGAACACAACAAGGAATAAAATAGTATCAGAAGGGAAAAGTAACAGCATGATCAAGTGTGTCTTAGAGCACAGTGCTGAAAAATAAAAACATTTTTTAAAAAATGCTTGTGAATATACATTCTTTTTTTAATAATAAAAGCTACTTCGCACTGATTACATGCTGCATCTTATTTGAACCGACGGCATTATTTTGTAAAAGTATCTGCTCACATTAAGGTGAATCCAGAAAATGTTTTTGATATAATGTATTAATGTTTGCTATGTTAATCACTTACGAACACCTTGATGGATTATCTGCCTAGTCTTTAAAAGGCTGCTTAAATCAGAGGACAGACCCCAAAGCCATTTGTGCTCTGATGCCTGAGCACTCGAGTTCCTGCTCTGGTTCAGTAAAGGGAAGCTGTAACAAGCTGGCTGTAACGGTAAAAAGGGTTGTGGCAAGATCAGGATGGTAGTATTTCAGCCACGATGCAGGCAAAAGTTATTGATTGATGTGGACGAAGATGGCACAATCTCAGAATGGGTAGGTGCAGATACTTATTTGATAGGACCAGCGGAGACATAATGAAGGGAAGAAAGGCTTTTGTGTGCTGTTGTTACTCTAGCAGAAAATCCAGTGATGTCTAGTTCTAGAAATGTATCAACTTACCATCTCTGATCAGTGGAAAGCTTATTAAGTAGAGACTATAAACTCGATTTTTCTTTTTTAAAAAAAATCCACAGATTACTCTTTTGAAATTCTGTCAATGAATATTATTGCATAGAAAGGAAAGATAATGCCACCTGTCGTCATTTTATTCTACATCATAGAGACTCAGCATACATTTCGGCTGCACCTATAATATCTTAATTGATGATCTTTTATTGTCATTTTATTTTCAACAATAAAACATCATCAATTAAGATATTATAGGTGCAGCCAAAATGTATGCTGAGTCTCTATGATGTAGAATAGTTTTTAGAACGCTCATCAGGTACAGTACCTTACAGATGTGGTGCTTCATTTCTTCAGGTTTTGGACATAGGTGATAGTCTAACAGTACCAGATGAATTCACGGAAGAGGAGAAAAAAACTGGCATTTGGTGGAGACAACTAGTGGCTGGGGGGATGGCTGGGGCTGTTTCCCGTACTGGTACAGCCCCCCTCGATCGCCTTAAAGTCCTAATGCAGGTACATTGTCAAATATTGGTGCATTATAACACTGCATTATGTGTGTCTTTTTAATTTCTTGGTATCCTTCACTGATTTTCAACATATGCACCAGTTTAAAATTATAATATCTGCCAAGAAATATTTTCTATACATTTTGTGTTCCAAATATTGTAAACTGGAAGTGTACACAAAATTGTGCATTATTTATAATTTACATTCTTTAATAATCATTCTCAATAATGCCTGCGAATAGAACTCTTGTAAAATGGCTTTGCGAAGTTTCGATGCGATGAGACGGGATAAAAGTTCTTTTATTTTTGTGTAATCATCAAAAAATTCAATAGCATCTAAGAGATGAGTCATTGTGAGTTCCCTTAAACGGTGTAATTACTGTCTGGTGTGTAACTGAGCCACACAGATCACCTTCCAGGTTTGATCGCCTTTCTGTGTTGAGTTAATTGATCTTGGCCAGGGCAGCATTAGGGAAAACTACAATTAACCATCAACACCTCCACATGTGTGCTGGAAGGCACAAGAGATTGTGGAATGGTTGATACAATCTATCAAAATGAAGCACCTGCTTGATGTTAATGAAAATATTAAGGAAAAACATATATTCACCTGCCGATTTCAAGAACTAACTAATTAAAGCCTGAAGAACCATGGAGTTGACCGCCATTGAGTTAACCACACACAGAAAAGGTAAAGCAAAGACTCTCCCTCTCTGTGTATGGTGCTTGGATGGAACCCTACTCATTCTAGTAAGCGCATTTGACTGTTTTTCAATGTATTCACTTTGTATAAAGTATCATAAAATACCTAAATGAATGTTACGCAATCAGTATTCTATTCCTATGTAAATGCTGTATGTTCATGATATTAATCTGAGTGATTTCATTTGTTCTTGCTATAGAAGAGCCTGTGCTTCTAGGGAGGTTTAAGAGGATTATTTTTTTCTCAAAGAAGAAACCTTGCGTCCAACACAACTGATAGTTGTACAAACTGGAGCACAAGGAATTCTGCACAACGCAATCTGCAGTCTCTCTAGAATCTAAGGATTTGACAATGCCAGTAAATAGCAAAATTAATCCTTGCATTTAGTACAGCCCCTTTCACGGTGGGTGGATGTTTGAAGGCACTTCACAGGATTAAGACTCACATGCTTTCTTAGATTCATGTGTGACAAGAATTCTGCCTACAATATGCTTAGTGATGCCACATGGCGACACGTTACAGCCTGCCCTTTCTGTGGCTTTAACTGATGGACTCAATTGCAATCTACTCTGTAGCGAGGTCGAGAGGTCACTTATAATTTGTTCTTCAAAGTGGGATTTTTTTAAACAGATAAATGGATGGCTGCCTGGAAGCTTTGCACACAATACAACCATTAGCTATGCAAATCATAGGTGGGGCAATCAGACTATGAAAACACCAGCATTGATGGTGGGTGTGATGGAAGTATAAGAGGGCATAAGATGTTGATATTGCAGAGGTGAAAGAAGGTGAACCTAGTGATTGAACAGATGTGGGGTTTGAACAGAATACAAAATGCACATTCCACCTGAGCACAGATTGAAGAAACAAACTATTTTGTATTTCGATGAACAGACAGAAGTCCCAGTTGCTCCATGAGCAGATGCATCAGTTAGTAGATTTGAGAGTCTCTGAACTTGAAATTGGGAGTGTCCTCTAATTGCACTACCAATGTTGATATAAAAAGGATTCAATCCAACACATCACACTTGACCATCTTCAATAAATAAACATAACTGCTCTAAAAGTGTCTTTTGTTGCATTGCACGTGCACGATCCTTGGGGATAAAGACTGCAGAATATTGACAAAAACCCTCTTCACGCACCTTTTTGTTACACACACACACCAGCTGTTTCTTTAAACCTCTGAGTGAGATGTCAATGAAGTGATGAATTGTGGTCAGTTTTATGCTATGGGGCCATGTTCACCAAGTGTGAGTTGAGACCGCTGTTCCCTCTTAGCTGCGTGTGTGCCCAGCTGTGCAGCAGTCTGTTGAAGGCCGCGCACTTTTTTTCACGGCAGCACACACAGCCTTTAAAAATTAGAGGAAACATAGGTTGAGACTGCACAAAATCATTACACATTACAGCTCAAAGGTTTGATTCAATTCAAATGCAAAAGTGAAAGGCCAATGTGCTAACTCATTGCACCATCCAGTTCCCTTAATTAAAAGTACACTACCTTAAATGTGGTAACCCTTCAGAAATGTAGAGTAGTACGTTTGCATATTATAGAACATGTGGGCATTATATATTTCTTGTCTCTTTTGAAGAATCCATCTCTGCAGATTTGTGGTGAAAATAATAGTTTTATAGAAGAATCTATAAGTTAAGAAGCTTTGCCACTAATTTCTTTTTGACAAGCTCTTTATTCTTTTAAAACTAGGTGCATGCTTCTAAGACAAACAAAATGAATATGTATGATGGATTCAAACAAATGCTGAAAGAAGGCGGAATTATTTCCCTGTGGCGTGGAAATGGCATGAATGTCTTTAAAATAGCACCTGAAACAGCGCTGAAGTTCACAACATATGAACAGGTACAGACAGCATTTTGTTTCAGTCCAGCCGATTGCACACAAAGCAGTGTCATGGATATTATTATTTATTATTTTTCACACTAAAGTGATTGCTTACAGGTCAAATCCTTGTTCAACATTCTGGATGGCTGGATTTTTATCTTTTTAACCTGTGCTTTTCTTCAATATGACTTGGATCAGCCATACAATGTTCATCAGTGTCCCTTTAGGAAGGTTGAACGGCTGTCTGATGTTACCTTAGCTTTGAATCTTTTTAGCCCACTAAAGCATACAGTCCTTGCTGGATAAATGTACAAGATCCACAAAGAGGTACAAATGCACAAGTCATAACCTTTCTACATTCATGGGTCCTCGAAGAGCCATTGAGTGGAGCAGGATTAAATTAGAATAGTAAATGCTATTTTAAAGTTATTGGGTTTTTTTTCTTCACAGTATAAAAAGCTGTTTGCAGGGGACAGGAAAACTGTAGCTCCACATGAAAGATTTATGGCTGGTTCCTTGGCTGGTGCCACAGCACAAACCATCATTTATCCCATGGAGGTAAGTAAATTTAAAATACACATTCAGAAGAAATGCCAAGCAAATCTTAGGGAAATGGTTACAATATTACCCATATTATTTCCCAAAAGGCAAAGATAAACTTTATAATTAGATTCCCATGCCAGGTGTTATTCTGGTCGAGAAGCATCTAAAATGTCCATGTATATAATCTAGTTTTTAATTGAAATTGTAGTTTACAAACATAATTGCTATTAAACCAATTTTTTTTATATACTCAGTTTATTTTGTAACCATTACAAAATTGCTTAGAATCTGCACAATTCAGCACTCTGAAAAGCTTGTCGAGTAGCGAGTTTAACATCGATTGCAAAGTGATGCTAAATAAAGAGAGCAAATTTGGATCCTGGAGCAATTTCTTCTCAATACATGTCCTTGTCTCTAGATAGTGATTGTGGACATATGGAGTGCTCAGCACGCACGGCCCAGTAGAACATGTAGGTTTTATTTCCTGTCCACCCGTGTCCCATTCCAAATTGTTTATCTGGTTACAGTATCAGGGCGTATATTCTACCATGTTCTCCAAAGGCGACATGACCAAAACAGCTCTCGTTCTAGTACATGGAATGATTTTTAAAAACGGCACTTTTTTTGTTCTTTATGTATGAATAGTGTGAAATGTAATTACTAGAGTTTTACTTGCATGGAATAATACTTTGACATGCTGCTTCTCTTTATGTCGATCGTTGTCATTGTTAGGTTCTGAAGACCAGACTCGCCTTGCGTAAGACTGGCCAATATGGGGGAATAACCGATTGTGCCAAGAAGATTTTGAAGAAGGAAGGCCTGATTGCCTTTTATAAAGGCTACATTCCAAATATTTTAGGCATTATTCCTTATGCTGGTATAGACCTTGCAATTTATGAGGTATGCACATAAGTTGTGAAATGATTGTAGTTTCTAATAATCATCTTCAGAGATGGTTGTGATTGTAGAACTGAAGGATAATGAAAGACTTTTGACCTGCAGTCTGTTCTTTGTATACCGTAGTTTGTAACCAGCTCCTTAGCCACTAAACTTACAAAATCTATTACTGTGTGCAGCAGAAATCCATCCCTAGAAGGCAAACCTGATTAGTTAGTGGACTCTGCATTAGTCTCTTATAGTGTCTCACACTTACACATGCATGGAGAATTCCACGCATCCTACCTACACATGGAATCACATTTGATTTAAATTTTAAATGTTCAGTGCATGTTTTCTGTCTGGTAGCTGTAAATGTACACTCTGCCCCTTGAGCAAATCAAAGTGCGTAGCTTGTGCCACAATTTACTCCCTTTTTTTCCCCTCTTCTGGCCTTAAGGTTCAGGAGATAGTTTATTGCACAACTGATATTGGTGCAGTCACATGTCTATGTCACACGTGGCTGGATCTGTGGAGTGGATCCAGTCGGGTCAGTAGTATCTCCACCAGAGGCAGAGCATCACACCACCATCTCCTTCTTTACTTTGCTGAGTAAACACCCATGTTTATCATGTTGTTTTGTGGTTACTGAATCATTTACCCAAACTGGCCCGATATTGTGCAAAATGCACAATAACAGGCTGGCTTTTATTTGGAGCAGATTTCAGTAACTTTAACATGTTTTTGTTATTTTGAATCAATCCAGGGATTCAGATAACATTAACCCCTAAATATTGTTTCTGTTGAGTTCAGAATAGAACGGGTACGTTACAAAACATCATGAATGGAATACACTGTGTCCTATTGTTCCTTTCATCCCTTAATATTTTGAAAAACAAACTATTTATTATGTTTAAAAAGTACTTTTCATTGTGTTGAAGTAGTTAGACTGAAGCTAGTAAACTAATTTTGTTTTGGTGAGTTAGGTGTCTTGCAGAAACCCATCAACTTGCTTAAGAATATCCAAATCAGTCTGAATTTCCATGAATGTCACCTACACCTGGAAAATCCTATTTCTGGAGTGGAAATGTCATGCGAAAATTGACTATACCAGCCATTTCTAAAGCAAATCAGCAAGGAACCTGTATTTGTATCATGCCCTGTGTGTGTGACATCATTGATTTGTTTTCAGACGCTGAAAAACACCTGGTTGAATAATTATGCCAAGGACTCTGCAGATCCAGGAGTTCTGGTTTTACTAGGCTGTGGTACAGCATCTAGTACCTGTGGTCAACTTGCCAGCTATCCCTTAGCCCTGATCAGGACACGCATGCAAGCACAGGGTAAGTAAGGTGTTTGATCACTCATAAATATAGCTTACAATTTCTTCCCTTTATAGACTCTCCATACAGATTTTAAAAAAACTGTAACTTATAACCAACCCATAGAAGCATTGTAATCTGTAATGGTGATGCAATATTAAAATGTCTCTTGTTAGGGCATTAGGAGAAGGTCAGTTTATCAAAAAATATGTGTCTTTCTTTATACATAAGAGTGGTTTGAAGTTTTTGTATTCCAGGCCAGATAGACTGGATGAATGCCTTCTTCTTTCATGCCTGCTCAAATTCGTGCTTTTTAGTGAAAAAGTACAACTAGCTGCACTATCCATGTTGTTTAAATTAATCAGTGCAGCATAATAATAAAAAATGAAATACTGTTTCATTTTTGCAGCGTCACTGGAAGGAGGGGGACATCCGCAAAACATGGTCGAACTATTTAAAAGCATCGTGGCTAAGGAGGGAGTGCTTGGACTCTACCGAGGTCTGGCTCCTAACTTCATGAAAGTTATTCCTGCTGTATGCATCAGCTATGTCGTCTATGAGAACATGAAGTCTACCTTGGGAATTGTATCCAGATAAAGTGGATTATGTCCATGCAGCCAGATACAGGGGAGGGGTTGAGGGGAAGAATTTAGCAGCTTATTAAATTAAAATGAATTCTTCAAACTCTGAATGGAGTTGGAAGCAGCATAGTTGATATGAACTAGAGTACCTTTTTCTTAAATATTACTCATGACAATTCATTGCTGTGAAAACACAGGAGTAATACATTTTAGCATCATTCCTTGAAGATTGTGAAAAAGCTTTGTCTTTCGGACAAAGTCCTTCACCACAAAAGGAGCCGATTTATTCTTTGCTGTAATTGTCTTCTTCAAAGAGTAGAATCCTAAATTTTTACTTCTGGCTTTCAATTTAGCAGTTATATAATTGAAACTGATTGAATTCAAAAACTTTTTAAACAAAAGTCTTCACGGCTTTTTACAGTCCTGAATGCTGTAGCTGAATGTTATGAAGTATAATTAGGTGTTTACAAAAATATAGAATTTTTTTTAACTGTTGTCTTTGGAATGATTTTTAAATGACATTTTATTTCTGTTTTGGGGCTTTATTGTGATGCTACATTTGTGAGGTGGGAGCAAGCCGTCAAAACCGTTTTTTTAATCACAGGTTCAAGGATTCCACAGTCAGATAAGAACATACTCAGGTGTTTAATATAATGGAAAAAAGTAGTAATAGCAGAATCAACATGCAGTTAATTTCCTTGGAAAAGTTAACAATAAAATAATAATCCATACATTTCATATAGCACCTTTCATGTCAGGAGGATGTCACAAAGTGCTTCACAAGATCTACTGTAAACTTCAGTGGTTGTGTGTTTTGTGGGCAAATTCCCACAAATTAAGACGAGACTTGTGAAACTGCATTAATAATTGGAAAATTCCTAGCAATCCAGTATCTTTCAAAACTTGATTTCTTTAGTTGAATAATTGTAAATTAGGAATCCGGATAACTCTCCACTAAGGTGTTTTTGTTTCTATATTTCCCATTGTTTTGTGTGAAGAGTGTAGTGCAGCTTGAAACGGGAGATATTTTAATCTTTTATCTGAACTTTTATCTGAAGAATTAAATTAGGAAGAAGGATGGGTGTAAAAATTGAACTTTGTTTACTAGAAATCTTTTGACCACTCCAACCAAGTAGGAAAACCAGTCCTTTATAATAACTGGGGAACGAAAATAGTTCTCAACTTCTTTCTGCTAGTTTACTGATGGGACTTCTGATTCGGAACGATTTAAAAAAAAGACCATTTCTCTGATTTGTTGACCCAAGGACCAAGCCACAAATCGATTTTTACCATCCACGTTTGTAATTCATAATTGTCATCAGTCCAAATAGATTCCGATGGTTTGGTGCTTGAAATAACTTTTGTATCGTATATCATACTGGCAGTGAGCAATGGAGCAGTAAAATGTATTATGTGGGCGTCTTGTTGTCTCACTGTGCCGCATGCCATTAAAATGATAAACCGTAATGCCATTTGTATTTTCACTGCAGCTAGTTGTGACTTCCTGGGCCATACTTACAGATTACATTTTTTAAAAATCCAATACTTGAAGTGAATCGTTGTTCAGCCAATCGTTATGAACTTTGAGAAGTTCTGATTCATACATTTTAGAGTTAAAATGTGTTTCTTTTTAAAGAAAAGATTTTTTGGCAACAGGGTTCACATAAAGCAACTCGCCAATAATCAGTTAGAATATCACAGCCAACTCCCAAGGATCCACGTGTAATTCTGGCAGCTCAGAGCAGGGATCCTGAATTGGCCATGAGATACCCAGTTTCTCTTATTAGTTGTGTATCCTATTGTGAACTGCTGTTTTTTTTTTAACTCTGATGTGAAAGGCGCTATTCTAAATGCAGGCATGATTATGTTTATCATTATGTGACAGTGAGGTGCACAATAATGCAGCAGTGATAATAGTGAGGTTAAAGTTGTTGGAATTAAAATAAGTGGAATGGGTAAAATATTAAGTACATCTACTCAGCGATCATTATGAGGAATTAGCAGTAATGATCCAGTATTGTAGAACCCTCTAAAGTAATATTTCAGCACTTAATTGCCATTTTTTTAATAGAAATTAGTCCTTTTCAGAATGGCAAAGCAAAATTACCACCAACCTGTGTTCAAAATCCTACCTTTTTTTCGCTATACTGTTTGTTCCTACTTTGTCATGACCCCAAGTCAAAAACATTTACATATTTATTCTTGAGGCAAAACATTCTTTGAATAATCTGAACAGACCATTTTTAACATGCTTAAGTTACTTCAACATTAATTTCAAATTATTTCACGCACAGTAATGAAACGATACCGAAATTCTTTTTGATAAGTCTCTATTTAATAAAATGATTGCGTTTTAAAATGGCTGTCTACAGTTTGTATGACTTAAAAGGAAAGAGTGCTAATGGAACCAGTGACTGTGTTGCAATCTTTAATCAGTACAACCATAGTGATGTACTTTACGTATTCAAATGTCAGTGTTCTGTCAGTCTGCCAGCCTAGAACAGGCGGTGCAAAAGACCAGAAACCTACTGTTAGAGACTGAGATCACTTGACTTGTTTTTGCTTTTAATACTGCTCAGGTGATTATGATAAGTCTATGTTAAATAAGAATGGGATGTTGGTTAGAGAAAAGATCACCTGAAGAAAGTGCTGCTCTTTCAGAGATGAACTGCATGGCTAGCTTGTACTTTGTATTGGGTGGTTGAATGAGGGACAGATGTATAAGCATGTTTCTCTTCTTGAACCCTGTGCCTCCAGCAGGGTGCATTTGTTTTTTATTGCCTTTTTACATGTTGTATTTTTTATTAAAAATTCTTATAAATTGTTCACAGTAATTTGTTCAAATTAATGATCTTTACAGACTTAACATTTTGAGTGATTTGGAATACCTTCCTAACACAGTCCCAGATGTAAAGCACTGTAATTGTATGATAGAAAGTCACTTGGAAAAATATTTGGGTCTTTGTACGTGCATCAGCCAGGAGTGTGGTGCTAGTTTCTTAATGTAGAATGGTAAGATTCTTCCTTTCAATTTCCCTGCAAGTCCCTGAATTAAGGCTTGTTCTCCAAAGAAACACATTGAGTGGTGGTGAGATGTTTTCTCTTCATCCCAGGGCGGGATAAGAACCTAATCGATTGCCAATAGTGTTGCCAGTGTTTCAGGAAGTGATCACCCACACTCCCTCTCAGCTGCGGATTTCTATATAGTTATGGTCTCCTTCCCCACTCCGTTGCTTGGTTAACTCAGGCTTGCTGTGCTTACCCTGCCCTCCTCCGCATCACTGTCAGTGGCCAAACTTTGAGCTATTAGCTATACCACTTAAACCCCAAAATCCTTCCATGCTGCACCCTCTCTATCTATAAGTTCTGTCTTGAAACCAATCTCTTCAACCTTGTCTCCGGTCACCTCCCCTTATCCCTCACTCCCTCGTATAGTGTTTGTAAACTACTCAGACATTATTCTACGTATGTAAATGCAAGTTGTTATTGTTTGTTGTTGGAACAGACTTGACAAAAGAAACAAGACAGAACCAAAACAAAGTTTACATTTTTTTATTAATATTTTTAGAAATACTTTCACTTGCTTTCCAGTCTTTACAATTTCATTTACTGAATTAAGAATAAGGTTCAAATCAACTTCATACAGCCAATGTTTTTTTAAAAAATGGTGGAATCATTCACATTGGCTGCTTGACTAAAGCACTGAATTATGTGGACTAAATAAATGTTTAACAGAAATTCCAAATTGGTTTCTTTTGAAAGTTGTTACGAAAATGTAGTTTTAGCAATATTTTCAGGAATTAGTATACATTTCTTGCTTGAAGTGTTTGCCTTTATTCTCTGGTATTGTAAAGTGTTTGCATTCATTTGCATCTAATGCATATTTTATCACTTACTAAAAAAAGAATAGTTCTCACACGTTTTCACTTGTGTGTAAAGTATAATTTCAAAGCTTTGCGATTACAGTGAATGCTTTTTAATGTACCTTGTAGAAACCAGAATGTTTTATATCCAGTTCTCACCTGGCAAAGCTTTTGGTGAGATCTTTCATCAATTCTGTTCACTGCGTGGCACATATAAAGCAGATCACTGTAAATGACATTATGCAGTTGCACAGAAAGTTATGAAAACAGATTGCTATACTGTATTTGAAAACAAAAAGGTATCAACCAAGACGCCCCATTGACAAACATGATCTAACAAAAGTAATAGCTGGTCTATCCCATTGAACAATGAAGTGGTGCTTTTGTTGGCAATTTATAACATCCACAGGTATAACCCTAATCAATTAGTAAAATTCAAACATGTGGCCAATGGCTGCTACGAATATTGCAATAACAAAGCGAGATCTACATGTAAAGCTGTTTCTGGGTGACAGCAGTCTTGGGTCTCCCTAGTCATCTTTGTGTGACCTACTGTCCCATTTGTGTAAAGTTTAATGCAGACACTATGCTAAAGCTGAATCGTCATGCAGTTTTACAATCTTTTCAGCAAGCTCTAGTAACTGAGGGTATCTAAAAGTCTTTTCCTTCCAGGAATCTGGAATTCCTGATAATGTCACCTATTGAGGAGAAAAAGAAAATCTTGTTATCTCGGTTATGGAAAGTAAAACTGAATTTTGGTTATAATACTTGACATGGTGCTTTATCACATTGTTGAGATGTCTCAAAGTGCTACATAGAATGTAAAGTATAATAACTGTATATTTTGCAGGCAATACTGCACAGTAATCAATATCCCCAAAACAGCCACAAAATAAATAATTTTTATTGGGGGAAGGGAGGGAGAGGTGATTGTTGGCCAAAGACAACAGGAGAAACTCCCTTCTCTTTTTGAATAGCGGCAAGGAATTTATTTGAAAAGGAACTTGTTTATAGAATAGGAATAACAATAATAATCCATGAATTTGATGTAGCGCCTTATCACGTCGTTGAGACATCTCAAATCGCTTCACAGAATATATTGTAAAGTGGATTGACAATATTTTTTTGGGTGCAACGTGATAGCCAATTGCACACAGCAGTGTCCCAAAAAAAGTTATTTATTAAAATATTAATAAATTGGGCATGATGAGTATTTCTAGAAGTGGACCGCCTGCACTAAATTACCTGAGCTCCCAAACAGGCACCGATAAATGAACTTCGGCTACAGCTGCATCCCCCACAGGTTATAGTACGACGGATAGCTTGTACGTACTCAGTTTCTGTCAGGACACCATGTAGTGCTGCTTGGAATGCACCAGGTAACACTAGTCAAAGAAACATTAAAGTTAGTTTGAATGTTTTCAGATTTTTCCTGGTTAGCGTTAAGCATCTTTAGCGATTTCCAAAGCAGACGCTCAAGCTTACCTCAGCTATTGACGAACACACCAGTTACCACCTCTCGGTGTGGTCTTTCAATATTTATCTTCACCTTTTCTAAATATCCTAATGTGCCAGAAGTTAAAAATAAAAAAGTCACCTATTTTGCAACAGTGATTTCATATTGTGCTAAACTATTTTATCTTAATTTTTTTTTAATAAATTCATCACAATCAGGATAATGGAAATACACGCATTTCAACAATGGATTTGTTTAGCTGCTGCATTGTGTAAACTACAAAATAGTTAAACATACATACTTGCATTTGATATAGCACCCTATCGCAATGTTTCAACATGCTTCACAATAATTAATGTTAAGAGCAACGACTGTATTTGTAGGTGAACATGGCAGCTAATTTGTGCTGAAAGACTCACCAGTAATGACCCTGTCCAGGTCTTGAGGGTTGTTTCTGTTTGGTTTCCGAATCTCAGCAATGATGTCATTAAACATATCAGTATCTGGACCATTTAATATGCAATACTCCAAGAACCTAAACAGGCAAAAACTTCAATCAATCCATCAACAGAACATTATTTGTACAAACCATGCACCTGTCTATCCCGCAGGTCTCTCTGATATAACATTGTTTTTTCAGATCACGCATGATTCGTAGCTTCCTGAATTTATAACCCATGCAAAAACTCATTCCCCCATGATAAGGATTTTATTTTGTATAGGTCTCAAAGATGGTGTGATAGAAAAGGCTGAGTGCATTTCTGTAATATCTCTTTTATCATTCAGGTGAGTCGCGGTTGAAATTTGCGTATGTGATTGGTAGACCTGAATATTGGGGCTATTCTGCTCCGTTTGCTCAGCCTTGATCGCTATGTGATTCTGATTGACTTGAACGCATTTTTATGTGACAACTAAAATAACAAACCAAGTGTAAAATGACATATTACACATTTAAAATTGTATGTTAGTGCCTTCACATTTGCTAAATATAGCGAATGAGGCAGATTAGCTCAGTCCTCATGTCTAATGCTTTTTGAGTGAAAAGAGCAGAGAAAGCAGATGTACAAAATGATCAGGAAAGGATCATTCTGATCTAGACTTTAAATTTCATACTTTCTTGATGAAGAAATGTCCAACAATGAATATTCCAATTTGCCAGAATTACAAAATGCTGTATAAATAATTATTTTACATCTTGGCTATTGCTTATTGTAGGTTTTTGTAAACTTACTAAACCTAAGAGCAAATGTTAACTCTGAGAGCTATAACCCTCTTCCCCAACCTCCCCGTAAAAGGTTTACCAGGGAAATAATCTGCCTCAATTGTTCCCCTCCCCCATTAATGTTCTGGTAAGACCAGAATTTTCTGTGATGTGCTTATTTATGGAATAAATTTGTTACATTTGTTTACTTCTGCCTTGAATCATAAAATGTTTATGGCTGGTGTTTAACTTCAGAGAATACAAATTGTAAATGATGGTTAAGCAAGCGGGGTAGACAATAGCATACTATAGGCTCATACTAAACAAAAAGGCCATGAAGGCAATACTGAACACAAGGTCAGAACACATGATCATCTCATTCTATGCTGAATGCACTTAACTATTCAAAGGATCTGGCTTCCCAGAAAAGCCCCTGGAGGCCAGGAAAGCCTGCTAAATTCTGTACTCTTTCATTATTTAATAGCATCAGCCCACTGATGCCCAGATAGACTGGACAAATGAAAGGATCAAGCAGATGCTTCAAATTCTTAATTTCAATTGACACACGTGACAGCCACTGGAGATTACAATTCAGTGCATGGTAGTGTTCTGCGTCATTTAATGCAATTGCTGGCACTGAAGACATCACTTGATCACTTCTCAGTAATACAAAGAAGGCCCTGAGGATAAAATACACCACTTGACTATTTAATATCATCGCTAAGAGACATACGGCTCATTTACCCCCTCAACACTGTACCATTTTCAGCTTGCTGTTGGTCATAAATTGCATTTTCTCCACTGTTTGTTTGTGTTGGAACTATATACCGCCCCCTCCACCATCCAAGAATTCAGCAGAAAGTATTACTGAGCTGCATTAATTAAGCCAGAAAACACACTCAGCGGGGACATGCAGCTGTTTATACTTCTGCAGAAGGTATTTCACCCTCACTCAATGAGCACTAAATCCTGGTCTTAAGCAAATGAACTTCCGATAAAGTGAATAATGAACACCAACAAAATTACATTTATATAGCGCCTTTCATGTTGGGAGGATGTCCCAAAGCGCTGGACAGATAGAGTTTCGGACCTGAGCTGCGGGTCAGGGCAGGGAGGGTGGAGGGCAGGGGGGAAGCAGGGTGACTGAAGGCACAGTCGAAGAGGAGGGTCTTGAGATGGGTCTTGAAGATGGCGAGGGAGTGAGTGAGGCGGAGGGACTGGGGGATGGAGTTCCAGTGGGTGGGGACAGAGTGGCAGAAGGCCTGCCTGTCAATGGTGGTGCGAGCGAGATGGGGATGTGAAGCAGCCAGAGCCTGTTAAGCGAAGGGAGCGAGCAGGAACGGTAGGGGAGGTCACAGTGGTAGGGGGAGCAAGACCGTGGAAGGCTTTGAAGGTGAGGACCAGGATCTTGAACTGTATCCTCTGTGTGATGGAAAGCCAGTGGAGTTGGGCGAGGATGGGGGTGACTGGGTCACGGAGCCTGGGACAGGAGAGGACATGGGTTGCAGAGTTCTGGATGATCTGCAGCCTGTGGAGGTTGGAGTTGGGGTGGCTGACAAGCAATGAGTTTGCATAGTCGAGGCTCGATATAATGAAAGCACGTATGAGGGTTTCGGCGGCCTGCGGTGCGAGACAGTGGCGGAGCCGGGCGATGTTGCAGAGGTGGGGGAAGGCAGAGTGGGTCATGGCCCAGTTGTGGGGTAGAAAGGATAATTAAAGGGTCAAACAAGGTGCCAAGGTTCCAGACTGGCTCAGTAAGGTGGAATGTGCAACCATGGATGGTGATGCTGTCAGTGCCTGAGGTGTGGAGGTGCTGATGGGAGCCAATCAGGACAGCCTCGGTAATGAAGATTATTTAAGAGCTTCGAGATCATTACGCAAGGTAAAAATCTTGCTCATATTTTGATAATAGTGAGTTAGACGCTGATGAAAAATAGCAGAAAACAAACACTAAAAGACAGGTTATTCCTGAGCAGCAGTTTTGGTGATATGTTATAGTTTACAGACATGGTGAAAGGCAAGTCTAATGTAGATTAAGTACAATACTTTGCAGACTGGCCTTTTTTTAACCAGTTAAATGTACAATCCAAGTTATATGTGCGTAGGCAAAGGGATTGTGCCCCTCTTAAAAGTGGAGATAAGTTGATGTGCTTTTATATCTGCCAAAGCATCCAAGATATTCCTTCTCCCTCGTTATGGACAAGGATTGGGATGGTGGTTGTCCAGAATAGTCTGCGCAACTTTTGCAAAGATTATTTATCTTACTGGCTGCTTACTGGATTGTAATCTGCAATAACTGCTAATGTAGCTCAAGGGTGATGCATACTAACTGTAGTGCCAATGAACTGCACAATTGTTTTTACACCCTTGAGTGTGTTAAGGTTCAGCTCTGCCCATGAGCTTCACTAAGGATATTAACCAGGGCCTGGATGTCACTCCAAAGGGAGTTGAAAGCTCTAAAGGGTCTAAAGTTTAAATGGAGTAGTTTCACTGATATATCATTGAATTACAGGAGGAATTCAATTATGTACATGCCAAAACATTCTGACCTTGCAGACTCTTTGAGCCCTATGCGTGTGCTAAAAAAGAAGTTGCACAAGGTAAATGGGTGATTAGAGTTCTTTGTGATATAACATTGATAATAATAATAATAATCCTTGCATTTGACATAGTGCCTTATCACATCGTCTCAAAGCGCTTCACAGAATACACTGTAAAGTGAATTGACTGTATATTTTGTGGGCTAAACATTATTTGACAGTGACAGGAATAAACCGCTGTATCTTAACATTTAAATACAAAAAATACTGGTTGCAGAAGACTGACTTCTGTCATGAAATTTAAATCAGTCAAGATTTTTTTAAGCACCTGCAGGGACCTGCTGGGATCTCCACTCTTGGACAAACTTCATTTTAGAGATGAAGAGCTGAGGTTTCTCTACATAAAATGTGTGGACAGTACCTGTGCTGTATTATAGTCACTTCAGTCTAAAGCCTTCCAGATTTCAAATAATTGTACTTTAATCGTTTTATGTTTAACGGGCCAAGCTATCGATTTGTTGAACTGGGCAAACAAATGGGGCAAAAAGTGCAACAGGAATTTCATTGTTAGGTAATAAAAGTCCCTTTTACCTCGCTGCAGCTAGAGCTAGAGCCACGCACATGTCTACGTTTTGTGTGACTCGAACGGCATCTTCAACCTTCGTCAGCAGTTCTTCTTTTCCTGCATACAATGCCACAAGAGGGGCTAATTTGGCAATGCAGTCCATTTGCTTGTCAACTTTCGATCCTGCAGGAACACGCATATAACAACATTTTTACACACCACAGGCTCTTACAACACAGAACATAACATTATTATTAGTTTTCCGTGGAGTTGAACTTCAATAGATGAGATGAACGAAAAAACAATAGCACAAGGAATTGCATTTCTTAATACAGCTGGATAAATTGGGCCTAGACATCCAAATTCTTATAATACTGACTTAACACTGTAGCTTGTTTTCTGCAAAATGTTTTTAAGAACTGAAGGAGACTTTAAAATTAAAGAATATGGATCCTAACCCAAACAGCTACAAGGGGAGAAGAGCATGCACCTGATTTTACATCTGGTCCAATTTGTCCAAATAAAAAGGCCACCCAGTATCAGTTTAAAATGTTAACCAAGTGATCTATTACTCATTATGTGAGGGCTAATCCACTCATACTCAGCTCACACTCAAATCCAAGACACTGGGGACTGAAGGCCAGGATCAAGTCCCATTCAGCGAGATGCTGGTCTCAAACATATTGCCAAGTGTTTTCTCTTCTTCGAGAGGAGAAAACATTACTCACACTCCATTTCTGATCCTGGATCAAAGCCAAATGTAAAGTAATGCAAGCAGCAAATTGTGATTCCCTGGTCAATTTCTCTCCAGAACAAAGCATGTTTCTGTGCATGTGCTACCTGCTGCACTGATAAGTATAGCCTCAAACACAATGGGAAAAAGATATATCACATTGTTTACGCAATATGAATTGTCTCTGCTCACTCGTGCAATGTGTAGGAAATGCCTTGGGCAGGGATATCTAGTCACAGGATACTGTTGTGTACTATCTATCCCCTTGTTTTATTAATCATGCAAAGATGTAGTCTATTACTAATGTTAGGTAACTATACCATTGTAAATGTTGCAAAAGGAAAATTATGATGAATGTCTGCAACAGAAGCAAATGAAACTGCTATAAGTCACGTTTGGAAACTAAAGATAAAGGCGGACCTAATCGAGTGGTGTTAGTGCCTGTTCATTTATTTCTCACATCTAGCTTTATCAGTGATTCACAGATGCATATTTGTTCTTAAATTACAGGCAGCTATCAAGTTCCTTAAAACATTATGTAAACTGCTGTATCTGGCTCTCAGGACAAATCTTGTATTAAACCATTTTTTCAATTAGCTCTGGACTGTTTGATATTGCTGAACACATGGCGTACAATAAACCATGTTGCGCATTACTGTAATTCAAACAGTGGTTTGATTTCACAGAGGCCTTGGCTGTTGCTCTTTTATATGTAATCTTTTTCTCACACAATTTGGCCAATTAAACTTCAACGGTCAGACGATGGCATCAAAGATGTGGAATTCGAACTTGAACTGTTGAGGTGGGACATTGTTTCTCAATACAATAACCCTTTCAGCTGTGTTTAATTTTAATGTTGATTATTTGTCAATTGAATTTGGAAGAATGTCTCCTTGCATTAAATTGACACAATTCTGCTGTCTCTAATAGCTACTAAACCCATCTTTTCTTCATTTCACCCTTTTTCCTGGTTCAACTGAGAATGCTGAGGCTAACACTAGCACTCCACTGGCAAAGGAATTCCATTTTCTTTAAGAAGCTTACCTGTTGGAGTCTCGCCTTCCTCAATATTTTTTAGAAATTCCTTGATGCTGCCCTGTCTCCAAGGACCATTGACGGGAAGCTTGGGCCGAGGACCTTTAAATGTTTTACAAAAAGAAATGCATAACATGGCGATAACAATATTAAACAACAATATTAGTTATTTTGTTCTTGTAAACAATGGCAGCATTGTTTAAAGAAGCTAGCTCTGTGCATGTGTAAATGTAAAGACAATATGAATAATCCTTACATTTGATATAGCACCTTTCACATCCTTGACTTTGGTATAGTAGCTGATCCAGTTGGATGAATAAAAGTAGTTTTACATTTTCAATTGCACTTAAACAAATCATGAAAATTCTTTCCAGCTTTATTTTAGAACATCTTTATTGTATCTGTGACTTACCTCCTTTTGTACGGTGAAGGGAATTTATTGGAGTGTCATATTCGCTTCCCGGTCCGAAAAATGCATAACTCCGTTCAGTGAAATCCTTGACATTCAGGCCTGTTAAGACAGAAACACTGCTTAGTAATACCTAAACTGATGAAATCAACATTGAATAATCTTTCAAACTGATTGACATCCGCTGCTTTCACATTATTTTACCTTTGCATTCCACTAAGGATTCCAGCAACACAAAGGCTTGGTCTCCATAGCAACTTTGTTGTCCGGTTTCACGGGTGTAAAATGGATTGGCCGATTCAGGTCTGAACTCCAAGTTAGGTGTTTTGGCCAGTAAACTGTCCAATTTCTCGAGATTATAGATCCAATGAACAGGTTGACCTGCGCAGATAAATATAATAATGAATTTAGCAAATCAATGCTGAAAATCCAAAGCGAAACACCTCAGACAAAAAGCACTTTCATACTCTCACTGTTCATTAAGCACACTCATACGACACTTTCATTTAGTATCAAACTAAAAATATTCCGTGGCCACGCTTTAATAAGAGCTGGGAATTAAGCACTGTTGTTTGTTTCCACGTGCAGCACTTTAGATGAGGGCAAAGCTTGAACACTGTGGATCACCAGAACCTTCAGGAGCAGGAAACCTCTGCCCCATTCTTTTATGAAGCAGAAAAATTAATCTTACCGTTCGGTTTTGGCACGTGACATTACAACCTTGCAGGAATTTAGATTCATTTGGATACGAATGAATTCTGTGTCCTCCATTTCCCACTGGAAGTAAATGATTCCTATTGGCCTAGTGGTGGTTATGTGTTCATGCTCCCTGGTGGCCTAATGCGTCTATTTCTGTTCCTTAGCTGTTAAAGGGGAAAGTATCTTGATTTCCGTGACGGGCTAGTATGTTCATTTCCTACTTGGTCAGTGGGGGGTGGGCATGCAGTTGAAAGAGGAAATGCACCCAGAGCCAAAATGCACTTGCTTGAGTCTTCCTGTGGCTTTGTAAATACTCAATAAAACCAACAAGAGCGCGGTGAAAAAGGGAATAGTGAACAATCAGATCTGCATTTCAAAGTGATTTCATTCTTTGGCTACTTTATTTTCTATTTAAAAACAAAGTAAAAACATAAGTGTTTTTGTTTTCTATTTAAAAGCAAAACGTTCAAAGTGACTGCACAACAAGAGAACACGAGATCGGAAACATCACCTAGTCCAAATCTTGGGCTTTAAAATCTTTGACCACACTTTCGTTTCTTCACCCCCCACCCTCTCCCACTCCGACCCCCTAACTCGGGTGTCCAGCCAACAACATCAAACACTTTGAGGCATTCTCCTGAGGTGAAAAACGCTATGTAAATGTAAATTATATTGCAGACTTCCAGACTACACAGCACTGTTAAAAAAATCTTTAATTCAGTCTTAATTTGTCATTGTTGCAACTTAGATGCCTTTTCCTCCTGCAGCTCGTAAAAAAAAGTCAGCTTCCAAATTAAGCTTTTGATATAAGTTTTTCCACAATTCTGTGTAATCTTATGTTTCAAGACAAAATGGTTCTACAGCTTAAAACTAGGCGAAATGTTGAGCCTCTGATGCACTTTGTACGATATAGTTGGACAAATGAACAGGTTTGACATTTGTCGTGTATTTACGTAGAAGGAGCAGCATTTACCAGAACTCACAAAATTACATACAAAGGTTAAAGAATCTTACACGCTGCATCTGCAACTGCTGCTCCAATAATTGCACCAATAGCCCGATCGGCATAAGACGGCACCTGGTGGGAAAAATACAAGATGCTTCCTTAATCTACCTGCTTTATTACATCCACTCCACTATTTTAACTTATTATTGTGATGAAAAAGATTCTATTCTGGTAGCAACATTGGAGGTATGGGCTATGAGCAATGAGGATTATAATAATAATAATATTCCTTATATTTGATATAGCACCTTATCACGTAATTGAGGCATCTCAAAGCGCTTCACAGACTATATTGTAAAGTGGAGTGACTATTTTGTGGGTGAAATGCAGCAGCCAGCAGTGCCCCACAGTTGTGAATTGAATGACTAATTTATTTTTGAGGGATCGTTACCTATGCAAAGTGATCCGTCACTCATCTAACGATTAGACAAGCTCAAGGGCACTTCAGTCTTGAGAAAAGATGTCTCAAAGAGGTGTATACAATTTTAAAAAGAGATTAAAAATGTAAACTCAGGATAATGCTTTAATAATAAACAAGGGCAGAAGAGTAAGAGGGCATAGGTTTAGAGCTGCAAAGGGCAACTTCATACAGATATCAGGAAGTTTTTTTTTATTGAGGGTAATTAATGACTAGAACAGGTTGCCAAGAAAGGTGGTTGAAACCAAGTCACTGAATCATTCAAAAACAAAGAAAGACTGGTAGACTTCATTTTGGAATCATTAAATCAAACTGGCCGAGGGGCTTCTTTATCCAACCCAACCATGTGAATTAAAGAGACATAGACAAATGGCACATACAGTTGAGCACTGATTATAAATGCATAACACAAACACAACCAGATGTTCCCCTTGGCTCCTCAATGAAGCAAGACTTTCAGCTAATTGACACAATTTGAAATCCATTTCTAGCTGAGAGTTTTCAACCACATTCCCATGTTGGATTACTACGTGTATGAGAGTTGTGCTATCCCTGTGGAAATGTATGTGTAGAGGGAAAGAGGGGTGCTATCTTTATGCGACTAATGACCAATGAATTTGCAGTCCTTTTCATTCTTAATTAGGCAAATAAGAGCAACTGTAATTCTATGGTGTGATTAGCACATCTGGTGTTCAGAACTGCTCCCCAGTGGAAAGAAAAGGGAACCAAAATGCCTTCAGGCCAGGAGAAGATTGGAGAGACAAGAAATAAAATAATGACTGCAATTTAACATGCAGGAAAATTCATTATAATTACCCTGATGTTAACATAGACAAACAGGCTAGACTATTTCATATAGCAATCAGTAGCTTGTTCGGGGCTAATTCTGAGCATATTTATGAACTATAAATGGGATATTTGAGTATGTGTGAAACATCCATCTTATTTCCAGCATAGCATTTTATGGTCATATATTTCAGTTTGGAATGATTGTGTCTGTTTGGGTAAGATGATGGTGGGGGTGGTGTGGGGAGAGATCCATTGCAATTCCCATTGCTTCAGTCCTCATTTACACTGCATGTGTGTGTATGTGACAGCAAGTCACCTCCAGCAACGTGTCTGTCCTGTAAATGCAACATGAAAGTCACATACAAGACGCCGGTTTTGCTTCTTCTCCAACAATGCCCAGACATAAAATTCCACTTGAAATGTTCTGAAGCAATCCACCCTGAGAGCCTAACTCGGTGCAATGCAGTCGCTGTGAAGCGGGGTCAATGTTTGTAACAAAATGCAATTTTTTGGTTGCAACATGCAAAGGGCAAATTGAGATCTGCTTTTTGAACCAATTGTCTGTGTGTCCCCCTCCCCCACCAGGAAGGAACAGGGAAACGTGGGTTGGGCTGACTGTTTGTTACACAAGCAGCTGTGGCTGTGAGTTTAGCTGTAGCCAGAATATAACACAAGATCTATCCCAATACCTACCCCTCACCCCAAGCATTACTAATTGACCTTGTGACTGGCTGGAGTACCTCGATTTGGGTTAGATATATTCCAAATGAACATGCAATGAACCAGATCGACTGTGTTCAGTTGTTTTTCTTTGTGTGTCTGCATATCAAACACACAATTTGCGACTGTTTGTGAACTGTGGCTGTTGCACAACACAGAAAACCCAAATTACATAAACATTTCACAGGGTGGTGGGGGGGGGGGGGGGGGAGAGGAGGGTAGGGAGGGGGAGAGGAGGGTAGGGAGGAGAAAAGGAGTGGGGACAGGGGGTCTTAACTTTCCTTTACCAACTAAGCTTCCAAAGAATAGAATCATTGCATCATGGCTTGCAAAGTGAAGCATTATCTTAAAGTAAAATCCAAGTCCAGTTGCAGGCACCTTCAATCAAAATAATAACTTTTTTCTTCCCCCCTGTTAAGACTGCCTGAAAAATTTTACAAAAGAAAAGTGAACCTTTAAACTACTGTGCATTTTAAGAAAACTCAGGATCATTTTGCATATGGTTTTAAATTGCAAGTGTTTACCTTTTTTGCTTCTGTCATTTTCACCAGGGAGCAAGCAGTTCTTTATGTCATCTTCCTGAAGGAGGACATAGTTTGACAAATCCCATCTCTCCCCTGTGCTGACTGGTTTGAGAGTCTTGCCCTGGGGCTGGTTGTCAACTTGGTTGGTTACTCGTTCTGTCATTCACTCCCATCACTATCGGTTTAACCAGTAGGACTCTAATCATTGAGTTTACTGCACTGTCATTTAACATCAGTGGGGGTGGGGCAGATGCTTTCAAAACTGAAGCAGTCTCCTTCTGACTTGTGACTTTGCTAAACAGGCATGGAGTATTACATAATCAAACGCCTAATAATAATCCCTCCAAAACAATAATAAATTGGTCATTTTCAATCCGCGACTGTTTGTGGGATACTGCTGTGCGCAATTGGCTGCCGCGTTTCGCCTGCAAATATACGGTCAATTCACTTTACAGTCTATTCTGTGAAGCGCTTTGAGACGTCGAGAATACGCGAAAAGCGCTATATCAAATGCAAGGATTATTATTATTTATTATCAAAGCACATATTTTCTTCTTTCTGTTGAGAGGTGAATTAGTCTAACATTTATTTTCGGTTATGCTAATAATCCTTGCATTTTAATAACATAATGCCTTTCACACTTGGAGGACATCTCAAAGCTTTGCACAGGACTCACTAAAGTGCAGTAGCTGTATTTTTGATGACAGCCCATTTGCACACAGCCGTGTGCCACAAGTAGCACATGGATCATTTTATTTGGGGAATTGTTGGTCAGATCATTAACATACACTTCAACAGGCAGATGAGCCTGCTTTAACATCTCATCTGTCACTTGAAACAATGCAGAGCAACCCCCATTACTGCTGAGATGTCAGTCTGAAAGGGAATTCAAGCAATCCTAACAGGAAAAAAAGAAGTTATTATTTTGATTGAAGGTGTATATTAGTACTGTGGTGCAGAAGGGCAGACATATGGGATGCATTAGAGAAGGATGAGTCATTCCAATTTATTTTAAAAGAAGGCAATTAACTTTCAATCTCACAGCCAAGCTTTCCTCCATCCTTTTGTCCTGAAAAACAACATTCCTGACCCGATGTGTTACAATACCTGGGTTGATGGCTTGATTCCTCAGGACTGTAACACCATAAACGTAACTGCCTAAAAGTCAACTTTGTTTACCATAGAACATTATAAAACCCATTCAATCAAAACTAGCACAATGCTTCACTCCAAAGCATGTAATAATAATAATCATAATACAAATCCTTGCATTTGATATAGTGCCTTATCACATCTTCGAGATGACTCAAAATGCTTCAAAGAATATACTGTTAAGTCATTCAATTGCTTCAAGAGATGAGCTAGGTTGTGAGCCCCTGAAGCTAAGGAACATTGTTTGGGGCAGAACCAAGGAAGATTTAATTACAATAAATCCTGTGAAACACGTTGAGAAGTTCTGTTGACGTGATAAGGTGCTATTATTAAAAATGAGAATTATTATTATAACTAAGGCCAGCACAAATATTTCACCATATTATGATACCACCTGCTGGACACAATTTTAAAGCACTGGCAATGACTATAAAATAATCAAATGGCAATGTGTTCACACAATAAAAATGTATAAGTCAATAGTAATCAGTAAAGGTCACTAAGTTCTAAAACAGCAATTTCTCTTGAACCAGTTGTTGATAGTGATCTTGAGAATCACCATGTCATCAGTGCAACAACTGTTTGTGTTTTAAAACTTATATTAAATGGAAAAACATTTCTTAAAGAAATGTTATGATGCCATGTTAAAGAATTATGAACAATTGAAAGAAGGGAGTTTCTCCCAGAGTCTTGACCAACAATCACCAAGGTTAAATTGGTCATTTACTTCTTGGCTGTTTGTGTGCAAATTGGCTGCTGTGTTTGCCTACAAAATACACAGTCACTGCACCTTACAGTAAATCCTCTGAAGCGCTTTGAGAGGTCTTCCCAATGTGAAACGTGTTCTACCAAATGTAAGGGTTATATATCACTATAATATCCAAGTGTGTTGAGCACCAAGTGTCGGGGTTTTGTTTACATTCAAGACACAACTGCAGATTTTCTTTTGTGGGGGTGCGGGGTGGGTCAGCCGGGTGTCTGACACCTGCAGAAACCCATCCCCATGCTTAAGAGTATTCAAACCAAGCTGAGATTTCCATGCGTCCCTCTTGCACATGGAAATCCCAGAGATAGATTGTTGGAATGGAATGCACACAGTCTCCCTGGAGAGATGCATCTTGCTTCCTTCATTCCGGAAAGTATTAAGTGCAGGTTGGCAAGAACCAAGGCTTGGGGACCCCAGAGTGTGCATTGGCATACTGCTGGAGTCTAACCAGCTAAACCTGCATTGATATTGCAGTCCGGCAAGCTTTCCTGATGCTTGTCCAGCTAGGACCACCCTACCAGTTAGGGCTTTGGCTTGCAGGGTTAACAGGAGCTTAGTGGAATAATTTCCTGTCCCCAGATCTGGCTTCCAGATCCCGCTGATGAGCCAGGCTGGCTGTGCTGTCATCAGCAGTGTCCTGGAATACTGCAGACCCGCCTGACTCAGGAATGAGCCGAAATGTAGGAAAGCAGGCATGTCACCTTGGAGTCAGTTCAGCTCCAAGGAGACCCCGCTTACCTCTCCCCCAAGGAAGATAGTCACTGGTTGGTCGTTGAACATCCGACAAGCCCGGGTTTGAGCCCTCACTAGATGGATGGTAGGTACAAGAAACTTCCTGCGAGCTTTCCGTTGGGAAACTTCAGATAACTGAAGGCAGGCGTCTGGTAAAATTTGCTGGAAGCGTAGAAACACTCAGAGAAAATAATGCAGGAGTGCCAAGGTTTTGGCGCAGATTTTCCATCTTGCAAAACCTATTTGGTGAAACAATATCACTTAGTGACTATATTTTAATATTCAGCAGAGCGTGCGATTTTTGCCTAAATCGCTTTAATTGTCAGTGGTATTTTAACAAGGTGTCATGTTGTATCATTAGCACTATGCTGCCCATAGCACAGAAACTGCCCTGGTCAAGGTCACCAATGACATCCTGACCATCTGTGACCAGGGCTCCCTCTGCCTCCTCGTCCTCCTCGACCTATCGGCAGCATTCGATACGGTCGACCATGCTATCCTCCCCCACCGCTTGTCCTCCCACCTCAACCTTCAAGGCCCTGTTCTTGAGTGGTTTAGATCATACCTCTCCCACCGTCTTCACTTTGTTTCCACGAATGGCTTCTCCTCCAGCCCCCGCACTGTCTCGTGCGGTGTCCCTCAGGGCTCTGTCCTCGGTCCCCTCCTCTTTACCCTCTATATGCTTCCCTTGGTGACATCATCCGCAGACATGGGGTTAACTTCCACATGTATGCGGATGACACCCAACTCTACCTTTCCTCCTCTACCCTCAACTCCACGACCACCGATGTCCTGACAGCTGCCTGTCCGACATTGAGTCCTGGACGAGAGACAACTTTCTTCAGCTCAACGTGCGAAAAACTGAGGCCCTCCTGATTGGCTCGCGTCAGCGCCTCCGCACCTCTGACGCTGACAGCATCAGCATCCAAGGCTGCACTCTCCACCTCTCAAAGCCAGTCAGGAACCTCGGGGTTTTGTTCGACCCTGAGATGTCCTTCCTCCCTCATATCCGCGCCACAACTGGCACCGCCTTCCATCACCTCCGGAATATCGCCAGACTACGGCACTACCTCACCCCTCACGCTGCTGAAACTCTGGTCCACGCCTTTATCACCTCAAGGCTGGACTACGGGAACTCTCTCCTCGCCGGCCTTCCCGGCACCTCCCTCCACAAGCTGCAGGTCATTCAGAACTCTGCAGCTCGTGTACTGTCCCGCACCAGGCTTCGGGACCACATCACTCCCACCCTCGCTTGCCTCCACTGGCTCCCCATCCCCCAGAGGATCGATTTCAAGATCCTCATCCTCACCTACAAGGCCATTCACGACCTTGCTCCCTCCTACCTCTCCGACCTACTATCCCTCTACCTACCTGCCCATACCCTCCGTTCCTCTGGCTCCGGTCTGCTCCACATCCCCCGCCCCAACTGCCCTACCATCGGTGGCCGGGCCTTCAGCCTCTCAGCCCCTAGGCTCTGGAACTCTATCCCCCAGTGCCTTCGCCTTACTTCCTCCCTTTCCTCCTTCAAGGCCGGTCTCAAGACCTTTCTCTTTGACTGTGCCTTCAGCTCCCCTCTCGACTCTCTACCCTCTCCTCGCTCCTTCCCTTCCCTCACCCTAACCATTTCCCCCCTGCTCGGGTCCTGACCCAAGTGTACAGCCCCTTGGGACGTCCTCCCGACGTGAAAGGCGCTCTATAAATGGAATCTTGTTGTTGCTGTTGTTGTTGTTGTTGATATTTTCCTGAGTGGACCCCCTTTGAACTACACAAAAGTAATTAATCCAGGGGATGCGTCGCTCCAGCCAGGCATTATTGACTGAAAGTCAGATAAAGTGTATCTGCTGACAAAGTGGATATATAATATACAATATAAAAATAATAATCCTTCCATTTGATATAGCGCCTTATCAGGTCTTAGAGATGTCTCAAAGCTCTTCACGGAATATATAGTAAAGTGAATTGACTTATATTTTGTGGGATAGCCTCCGCCCTGACAAGACATTTGTTTTCTTGTAAACGTATCTCATAAACAAAAATATTGTTCTGAAAGAATACTAACTTGTTCCATTTATCCAAATATGCATGTGTTTATCTACAGTTCCTTTGATGCACTTGTCTACTATGCTTTAATAAAGCAACATCAGCATTGGCGTAGAAATTGCCAACGGAATTTCAGCATTTCCTGGGAAGAGCATGTGACGGTGGAAAGCAGGAAATTAATAACAAGAACTCGTTCAAATAATCTGAAAATTGCCATCTGAATGGCAGCAGTGTTCATAAAGATCCATCCAGATGGTTGTCTTTGATGATATTATCTTACATGTTCAGCTGACTCAACCAGATTTTGTTAGTTTGGCTTGAGATGCTCAGTTTGAAAGCTCTGAAATTGTATTTTGCCATCATAGCATCCATTAGAATTTTATCTTTGAACATCAGTGGCAATTAGTGTGGCATTTTTCCATTCCTTGTTATCTATTGACAATGGTTTGGGAGATGTTTTTCTCGCTGACCTAATACAGTAATAATAATATATTTATATAATAATAAAAAATAGCCTTTTGCTTTTGTTACTTTTTTAAACATAATATATTTATTATGTATTTTATATATAAAATATAATATATTATTATGTTTATGTATCACTGTTCTTAAAATTAAGAAGTAGTTAGTGTCAGGTCATGTTGCTAAACACCACCCTGGCCACTCCTTACACACAGGAATGGATCATTCAGATCTACTGAGTTTTTACACCGAAAATATCAAATCCTGGAAATGCATCGTGTGGAGAACACTTTAGGGAAGGATGACTGAGAAAAAACATGCAATAGGCTATTCTGTTCTACAGATATAATGGAGATACCTGTATTATTTGGTTGATTTTTTAAAAAGAAAAATACTTAGTCATTAATAAAAATGAATATAATTTTTAGGTTCTTTATAATATGTACCAGTGGAAGTACAGTATTGTATATTCAATATTTGCCTCAGGTTAATTAGCATTGTGGGTTCTACAGCAACTGTTGTTGACAGAGACTGTTGTGCAATGTAGGACAAGAATTGAACGTTGCGATTGCTGCAGATTTGTAGATAATCTGGAAAGAAAACGGAATTATTGTGTTAATGGCCAGAATCCCTACCCTGCAGACAGAAATTATGTCACCATAACTTGTTTCATTTGGAGCATTTTAGTTTCTGAAGAGAGCAAACCCCCAACTTACATTTGGAAATGTAGCAAAAGTATTCTTTTGAGAGGCTCTCTTATTTGAACGCTAATTGAATTGCAATTCGCAATTGCGCATCCATCCAAGCAGCATCGCATTTATCTCACTACACAATGTTTCTGGTGATGTTATGTAGCACATGATTCAATACTCTATACTCTGAAAATACACAAGTGACATCCAAAACAGAAAAGAAAAATGAATATTATTTTGCCACCCGTTAAATATTCTGCTGAACTGGCATTATCTCTATGACATACCTCATTGAATGTGATACTCTTGAGGACAGAGAGAATGGAGCTTCACCTACACAGTGCATTAAAGATTGTGGTTGTGTACTGATGGTGATTCCAATTATGATAAATTACATGACTGGAGTGAAAGAATAAGAAATAAGTTACAAGGAACTAGGTGCATTGCAATTTTGTGTTTACTAGCCATCCAAACGTTTCCAGCTATGATTTTTTTGCTTATAAAAACATACATTTATTACAATGAATTATAATATTTTAATTCTAAAGCTTGATTTTCCATTCTGTTCTTGTGGGTACATGTCAACTCTTTATCTACGTCTGACAGCACAGCCGATATTGGTAAGTCGTCCAATTAAGGAATGATACCTGTAGCTTCCACCACTTGGTGGTGCTGCACATTGGCCTATCAATGTAATAATAATAATAAGCCTTACATTTGATATAGCACTTTTGCATGTCTTCTAAACGCCTCAAAGCGCTTCACAGAACACACTGCATAGTGAACTGACCGTATATTTTGTGGGCGAATACTGTACACCATTAACCATCTAATGCTCTTTCTAAATGTATATATCTAAATGCCATTGTCACTTCGTGCTTAGTAATAATACATCCCCTTTTTGCCTTTATCTCTTGTTGTGTGTTTTGTGAACTTTGATCTAAATTTTCATCTCTTTTAAATGGTTGTATCTATTTTAATGGTTTGGGTTTATGTTGCCTGTAGAGTACATAAATCAGAGTGTCCCACCGCTACTCCAGTGCTCCTCATTCAGTTCAACTTGGCACAGTTGGGAGCAGAGGCTATAAAATACCTTATAACTCTTAATGAATTTGGCTCAGTTTCTGCTCGTAATTTAGACACACAATCCCAACCTTCCCTATAAATTAGATTCATTCAAAGATAAAGAATTGCTACGAACAAATAAAACTACAGAATAAGGCTCCACAAAGTCGAATAGTCTGCACCTGTTCCTATAATTCATAGAAACTGAAGTTTCAATTATTAAGGGATGTGGTGCCAATGCTCTTATTCAAGTGAGTAACAGGTGAACTGATATTTATTATGAAAAAAATTATTAGCAGCTACATTAGCTTATGAAAGAGTGCAAGTTCTGGATGGGGGGAAAAAAAACATGCTGTGAAAAAACTATCCTGTAATATGATCAAGCCTATAGGGATGGCTGACACTTTCATTGTGTAAGTATAATCAATAATCCAGTAGGGTTCTTTGATTCTTGCTTCCCATTAATTTATAATATACCCTATAAAATATGAATGTAGCTATTTGTCAATGTCTACCGCAATATTGTGACCTTGAGAGTACAACTTGAAAGATAATCTGTACAATAGACCCAGTATTTTATTTTATTTTTGAAATATCAATTTTGCAGTCAATTTCGACTGAGGTTTACATATTTTTAGGGCAGCCTAAAACCACCTTTATTTTTTTCTTCACATATACAGTGACATTAAAGGAGCTGTAAACATTTTTAAGCATTAAATATTCCTTACTCATTTTGAATCCAGTTTTTTGAGGCAAGTTTGGTTTTGGTTAAAAAAAATGTCAGTCTGAAACTGTTAGGAATCTGTTCCCTAATCCACTCAGTTCCAGAGTCATGTAGCAATATTGAGGGATGGGCAATAAGTGACAAGTCAAAATAACCATCTGGATACGACTATTAATATATATAGATTTACATTTAGTAGATATATTTTTAATAATCCTTGCATCTGACACAACGCCTGTGACATCTCCACTTTGAAACATGTCGATGTATGTTATAGGCATTGTATCAAATGCAATGATTATTATGATCGATTTGTATTGTTAACTGGGCAAAACAGCAACCAAAGCTTCTACTTAGCTCACTCTAGGACCTTTGATTTTTTTTTAGCTCTGCCCATCTACCAGCAACGAAGCTGATGAAATCAAGTGAGTTCCAATGTCGAGCTGAATAAATATTTTTATCGCAAGATAAAGCCACGTTCTTCTGGTTTTATTCTTCTGTTTCTAGTCATGTGGTTTTTAATCGGGCTGAAACCGAGATAAATCTCGAGGGCAGATCAACCTTTGCAAATCACCATTGAATGTGATGGGCAGTTCTTTGTGGGAGAAGAGGCAATGCTCGAAGCGTTGTAGGGTTGGGGACTCCTTGGGTTTGGCGTTTACCTGTCATCTCTGCAGGAGTGCACAACTTGTGACACTGTTCACAAACTTGTGACATTGGCCTCAATCGTCTGGCGAGAGGGTTAGAGGGGGGAATCCTGCATTAAGTGGCATTAATAATGCTTCCAGCTTAACATAAACACTCTTGATATCACAGAAGCCTCATTCAAAGCACAGCGGATTCATGACATAACACATCCATCACTTGGTGAGTGCAGGATACTCAATCATTCCACGTTCAGACTCACCCGTGCCTCTTTGGTTCAATTAGAAAACTGGATCCCAGCCCAGACGTCGGGTATTTAATGTTTTTTGCTAAAAAAAAATCAAAAAAAAAATCCTGTCTTTACACCAAGTGCGTTGTTACATAATGTGCACAAAGTTTGGCAACAGAAACAGACGTTAGGGCTCCACATCGATGATGATGATGATGTTGAATTGCATCTGAGAGGTTTAAGAAAGAACAGGTGGATGGAAACATTGGCCTCAGAGGGTATCAGGGGCAGAGGGGGGGGGGGGGGGGGGGGGGGGGGGGGGGGGGGGGGGGGGGGCAGAGGGAGGGAGGGGGTCCTTGACTCACCGGGTGGAAGGGGTTGAGATTCCCATCGACTCTTTAAAGCTCAGCTATTGCGCTCCATCTTCCCCCGTTGGTCCCCTTCACTGAACGGAGCCAAATCCTTTCTGGCAATTTCTTGTAAAGTAAATAAACCAGAAGACAGGGAGAGAGAGAGGGAGAGAGAGAGAAAAACAAACAAACTCCAGGAGAAGCTTTATGTACACCAGTGCAATCTGAATAAACTCACTCCGGCTCCAACTATAACATTTCTTGTCAAATACAGTGCCTGCGACTTACAATCAATCAGATCCATCGGGTTTGAAGGGTTTGAGACATTGCTTGACGGCCAGAATCTATTTTCTTTTTGTTTATATATATATATACATACATATGCATATAAAAAAGACGAAGGCAGCAAAAGGCACCACATTTGAACGTCCACTTAATTTTTGCAAAGAGCTTCCGCGTTGCACTCAATGTATAGCCAATGCTGAAGAAGCAAACGAGGCTTTTTTTTTGGTACTATAACATTACAGGAATTGGCCAGGAAGCTCGTGAGACTGTGTGTGTGTGTGAGATGTGCGGTGCTCTGGGTTCCCAGGAGGTCAGTGTGTGTGTGTGTGTGTGTGTATGTATGTGCTGTGTGGTGCTGTGCTGTGGAGGAAACCCTGTCTGAGTGCTTGGGTTTGGGGAAGTGGGAGAGAAGCAGCAGCGCCTCCACCACCACCTCCTCCCCCCTCCTCCTCCTCCCCCCCCCCCTAAACCCCAACCCCCTCCCTAACCCCCAACCCTCCCTCCCCCACGAACCGAGGGCCAATTGCAAAAGTCAAACCATCTGCTGGCAGCAGACGGAAGAGCCGCAGCCCCGCAGTGAAGGCAGAGCGGATAACGGAGCGCGGCTGCACTTCAAGACAGAGGACGGGAAGTGAAGAGAGAGAGAGAGAGAGAGAGAGAGACAGACACAGAGAGGGAGAGAGAGAGAGAGAGAGAAGAGAAAGAGTGAAAAAAGAAAAGCACCTTTTTTTTGTTGTCGTTGTGGTGGTTGTCACTGAATAGTCTTATCTGCATTATTCCCCCCTCCCCCCCACCACCCCCCCACCACCCCCCACCCCCCACCCCCCCCACCCCACCCCCCACCCCCCATCCCCGTCTCTCTGAAGTTGTGGAGGGTATATTGATGAAGTTGCAGTCATGGAGCCGTGGAGACAGTGCGCTCAGTGGCTGATCCACTGCAAGGTTTTGCCTCTCAACCACCGGGTGACATGGGACACCGCTCAGGTCTTCGACCTGGCGCAGACCCTGCGGGATGGCGTACTGCTGTGCCAACTTCTCAACAACCTCCAGCCACTGTCCATCAACCTCAAGGAGATAAATCTGAGGCCACAGATGTCACAGGTAAGGAAAGGGTGGGGGGGGGACTTGGTCCGTCTCAGTGATCAGCTCAGCTCAGCTCAGCTCAGCTCAGCTCAGCGCACCGCCCCAATCCTCCCGGTTGCAATTTGCTGCTGTTTAGTTTCTCTCTGTGATGTGTACGGGGCAGTCAATCGGGGGTTCGCTCTCTGTATTGGGGAAACGATCGCTAAGTTCCCGCAGAAGGGCAACGTCCAGAGTCTCCCCCCCTCCCCCCTCCCTCCCCTCTCCTCCCCCCCTCCCACAGTGTCGGTATATGCCCCCAATGCAATGTACCAAAAGTGACAGCTGATGCGCGGCTGTGGTGCGGTACGTGTCCGCGGTCCGGTCCCGGTGTGGGAGAGGCTCAGGGGGTCCCGAAGGGAAGTCAGTGCAGTTTTGTTGAGGCTCATCCTGTCACAGCGAAAGGCAGTTTATTTAGGGATCTGATTAAGGATAAAGTGGGTTCCGTAAGTGGATTGGTTGTGGCCAATGCACTTTGGGGATGTTTCAATGGATCTACATGTAAATGTCTTTATAATAATAATAATAATAATAATGTGAATTGCATTGGTGATTCTTGCATCCCCAGGACTTGGTTTGCAACTGAGATTCCCACAATTTGACGGTTTATAGGTGTGTTTTCCTTGCGGTTTCCGTTTTATTCCCCCTGTTATTTCCTGACATGTATGTCAGGCACATGACGCATTTCCACAGGAATACACACCGCCAGTGCAGGAAAAGTTATACGTGTTTTTTTTTTTTCGAACGAAAATCGAGACTGGATGTCCACCAAAGGGAAGAGAGAGAGAGAGAGAGAGAGAGAAAAAAAAGACAATGGAAACAACCCACACGAGAAAATAACAACAGTGCACTTGGAGGAAGGATATGCAGATGCATCCAATATTGTGGATGGTTTAAATCTGAATTGATGAACAGCAAACATTGTATGGCTGATGGATGAGTCAATAACATTAGATTTTCCAAGTGGAGGAAAAAATAGAAGGTTCCCCAGGAGATTTCTTTTGACCCAGATTCAGAGAAGTCACATTTACCACAGGCTAATTTCATTTCAAGCCTGACAAATGTAAATGCAATATATTTTAATAACATATTTGAAGTCTAATATCGCAGCTAATTAGATAGACTGGGTGGGAGAGGGATTTTTCAGTGCTTATTAGGTTGAGGGAATATAGCTTGGGGAACGGAATTGTTTGAGTCTGCAAAAGAGACACAAGCTTTCTCAAGTCTGAGTCAAAGCTGACATCTCCTTACAAGTCTGACATAGAATGAATGAAGTTAGTGTAAAGATAAAAGTGACAATTGGCAGAGACATTAGATTGTTTTTTTAAAAAAATATTGGACGAAGTCAAGCCTGTGTCTTATCCAGGTTAAGATAACCGGCCATAAATAGCTCATGACTATTAGTTTCCTTGAGGAATCTGATTTTCTCAGTAATGATACTTTTTCTTCTGTCATAACATTTACTTCTGTCTACTAAGGCTATGCTTTGGACTCTACTTTCTCATTTAGACATGCAATCTGTAATAATGTTACAGAAAGCTGAATGTTGTGGGGAGTTTATATATGGGGATCTGAAATTTCTCACGTTATACTTTGAATTACTGTTTTAAAGTTTGAGATCATCCGGAATGTTAGAAAAAGTCTTAGATTCAGTTTTAATAGAGGTAGAAAGATTTGCTTTGGAATTTAGCCCAGCAGAAGAATGGGCAGCAGGAAACAAAATTTCAATGCAAGATATAAGGAAAATAATTAAATTGTGGGCCTTTAAAGGAAATGTAGTTTACATATTGTATTTGACTTCCTGGTACTTTTAAAATTAGAAAATGACTGTATGGTGACACCTATATTGCAGTTTTATTTATGATATCTAGACAGAAGTCTCATCCCTGTTTTACTAGTAGAGCTATGAAAAGTAGTTTTTAAATTTACTCTCCTACATTTACAGGTAAACCAATCTATAGAGGTGTACTTTTCAATGCTACTTTTGTAACTGTTTACATATGTATATATATATATTTAAAAAATGTGTTTGCCACCAGTAATTTGGACACACATTATCTGTAATTTAATCTAATGTAAATCACAGATGACATTCTTCCATTGTATTCTTCCATTCTACTTACATGTAAAAATAATAGTAAAGAAAACCCACTATTTGGTGCCTTCCCATTGCAGTCTATAGCACCCGGAAAAAGCCAGATGGCATAATTGCAACTGTTGAGAATAGATGCAGGCATTAACAAGTAATATAGTACTGTTCTACTGCATTGTGAATGAGCTAATCAATAAAAATCTTCCACCATGTTTAAAAAAAACAAATAGTGCAATCGGTTGCTCCAACATAAACACCTTAAGTGGAAGTCATATTGGGTGTATTTATGAGCAAATGAAATTTAGCTAGTGACACCTAACATTAGTTATTTGTTGTTTTATTTCAAACGTGTTTGTTCACTATGTTTAAAAGACCCCACAAAGATTGGAACTTTGTTTTCCCAAGTTTGAAAAAATAATGTACCTAGTACTGAGACTTACAGACCAAGAAAGTCACGGGCTGGAGCCTTGATCTGTGCAGCATTTGGTGATCTCACCTGGCATAGTAAAAGAGATTCAATATTGCTAGCTTCGGGAGGCGAAGTCAATTTGTTTCCCCTCTCTGATTGCTATTCGGTAGTCCCTTGTGTAATGTTCACATGCATCTGTTCAGGATCAGGCTTAGCTGGTGTCTATAACTGGAAGAATAAATTACATAGCTGGAAAAAAAGATACTTATTGAATATTAAAACATGAAATTTACGATTATTTTGCACCGAATGTTCTTGTATAGCGTCAACCTTTCAAGCAGATATCTTGAGAATTCATCTTGAAGATTTCAGTCGATAATTGTATTTGCATTTGATGCAGCAGCTTTCCATGTCAAAATGTCTCACAAATTTTTCACACAATGAATCACATGAAGTGTATTTTTTTTGTTACATGGACAAATGAAATAGCTAATTTGCATCAATAACATTCCACAAAGAGCAACTACATGAATGACCAAATGTAACATTATTGGTAGTATGTTTGGGTAAGTGGGGAATGTTGACCAAATTCAAAATAGCACATGAAATCATTAACATCAATCTACACTATCTGAACCTGCAGGACCTTAGTTTAATGCCTCATTGAAGGGCAGCAACTTCAGCAGTCTCTCAGTACTACCCCAGCTTAGAGAATGAGCTTCCAAAACTTCTTCACAAAGTAATTTGAATGGAAATATAACATGTTCTAAAGTTTTCATTAAGGAGTTACGCATTTCTGCAATGTACAGCCTGCAAATACCTTGATAACAAGTGTTAGTCTATTTTCTGGAGTATGAAGAGTAACCCGATTAGTAAAACTAAAGGCAAGGAGCATTTTATTCCAAGATCACTTGTGCTACCTTAGGGCTTTATAGCACTCAGCCAGAAGAATTTCAATCAGTTTTTATTTTTATGCTCTTTGGCTAAAGCCATTTACTAATAGTGTATGAGTCAGCTAGTCCAATGAGTGCCCTAGAGGGCATCCATTTAATGGTAAAAGCCAGGCAAAAAAAATGTAATTAACTATCAACATCTGTGCACATTAACTGCACCAAGGAATTCAGAACAGGGTGGCCATTTGCAGGACAAGCCTTTGAGTCAACGTTATCCTCATTTCCTAAAAAATATGGGGAAGTACTGTATTTAGTCATATCCCCACTTAGTGTTGTTATTTCCTTAATGAAGAGACTGGTCACGTTTTTACATTTAGAAGAATTTTTTNACCTCATGTTTAACAGCACTGCAGAATGAACCACAGCCAACCAAAGAATGAAAACCTTAGTTGGGAAAAGATATCGTCAATCAAATATGTAAGAATGGCCAGTTGTCCACCAAGAATTGTTCACACATTATAGTTAAATTCCATTTTGCTTAAGATGCTAACTTTCTGTTGTCTCCTTATGTTGCTCTATGAAGGTTACAGAAGTGTTCATTGAGTCAATAGTAAACAGATTCAAATTGAAAGCATTCATAAGGTACTGCAATAGAAAATGGAAAATGTATCTTCAAGATACCCTGGCAGCTCTTTTAAAATTTTTTAAGTCAGTGCCCATTTTATGATCCTCTTCAAAGCAGTAGACACTTGTTTTTGGGAGATTCTGTTTTTAGCACTTATACGTTTGTATGGCCTTTTTATCTTGACAGTTGAAGCAGACTAAGAAATGTAATCATCCTGTAAAATACTGATAAAGCAGTGTTGTTTAAAATCTACTGTAATATCTCAATATGTTTTGTGCAATAGTTAAAAACAATTGGTTGAGTTTCTTAATTCCCATATTATATATATATATATTCCTCTGGAACTCCATCCCACAGTTGCTCCGCCTCGCCCCCTCCCTAGCCACCTTCAAGACCCATCTCAAGACCCTCCTCTTTGATCATGCTTTCGATCTCCTTGCTTCCCCCCTGCCCTCCACCCTTCCCGACCCTAACCCCCAGCTCGAGTCCATAACTCTGTCTGTCCAGCTCCTTGGGATGTCCTCCCGATGTGAAAGGCGCTTTACAAATGTAATTTTGTTGTTGTTGTATAATATAATTAAAGCCTCTCCACCCAACAGTCATTATGGCTAATGTAATCACTTGCAAACAGGTGTCAACTTGCTTGGCTCAATTGGTAACACTCTCATCTCTGACTCATAAGATTATGGGTTCAATGTGAGCTCACAGTCGAGGCTAACACTTCAAACCAGTGCAGTGCTGGTGGAGTGCTTTCTGTATTGATATATATGATATAATATCTCTGTTCAAAGGTTTATCTAGGACTTTCAGCCTAAACATGAAAAAAAATTGCTTGTACATTGGTCTGGAGGAAGGAGTCAATCTAAGTAAATCTATTGATTGTATTGTTTGCTACTCAGAGAGTTGCATTGAACCAGCCTTTGTGCAAATGTAAGAAAAAGATAGGTTGTTTGGACTTTTAAG